ATATTGTTTATTTAAATATAGGGTTTGTATAATTTTATTATAATACCTTTATTAAATCAAATTTTATGAAAAGCTAGCTAGGATAAGAAAAAGTTTCCCTTTTAAATCATTTCCAAATTTCTAATACATTTTTTTAGCCTTGACATGCAGGCATCTCCGCCAGCGACCTTCACATTGAGTTTTGGCTTAGCCAAAATTCTTTATTTTCGTGGGATTTTCGATTCTTGGCAGCGTCCAATGAATCTGCTTACTCATTTGTTGACTCTCACAGTTTGCTGCCTATACAAATATAATTAGTCTTGTACTCTATATTTGCATATAAAATGCTTTTTGAACGTTTAGGACTACTTTGTAGAAGGGCTAACGAGTGATTTAGATAGTGAAGAGTACTGATAATGGGAAACAATTCGATATTATGATGACCTTGCCCGGCAATCGACTCGTCTCATTCCATTTGTTCAAGGTCCCATGCAACAAATGCAATTATTATGCATGCCAATATGTTTTATTAAACAAAGTGCGACAGTTCAACTTGTCAGTGCAATTTAAATTGATACAGAAATCTAAATTGGGAATCATATAAATAAGAACATATGCTATTTTTCCGCTCACTTATTCCATTTTCACATTAGAAATCAAATCTATATTTATAAAAAAAAAACTCACAATTTCTACTTCAAAGGTGTGTGTCTCTTATCGAATAAAATTGTATAACAATCAACAGTAATATCTATTAGTATTTATGCATTAAGTGTGATTTCTGGCTTTTGTAGCAAAAATTGATGGAGGTTTTTGTACTTTGCTGGGTATTATAAGCGAATTATGAAATACTATGTATAATAGTAGTAACTAATTGATTCTGGTGTTGAGTTATGGGGAAGGAAATAAATTAAAAATAGAAAAACATAAATACATATTGCCAAGTTCAATTGCTTTCATCATATACAGTTAACTGAAGGGGAATAATTGCCAGTTTGTTTGTCATTTTTCAATCTTTTAAATGCCGTCTGTTTGAAGTTTGTTGACGAACTGATTTATTATTCTATTTTTTAGCAAGATTATTATTGTTATGCTTAACAGTCACTTTTGTTTACTTTTCCTCATTAAAAATATAGCTTAAAGCTTTTAGTTTTTTAGCCAGTTAACATCTTAAGATTCTAAAATTAATTAGATTGTCTGTATTTTAAGATAATTAAAAACGAAACGGCTTTAAGGAATTCTTGGAAAATATTTATATAATTCTATCGATTGTTATTGTGATTAATCACAATTAGTTATGCTTATGCTGGGTTTTTTTGTTTTTAATCTTGGATTTATGTGATCGCTAATTCGAATGCGAATGCGGGGCAAAATAAACTAATTAGGAGTCGAATGACGCAGATTGGGTTTGTTTATCCCAAAAACGAAACCCGATAAGCTTTCTCCATGGTAATTAAATCTACTCCTTGCTGCAGAATCCCTAGCATCGTCAATCATCGGAGAGCATTGTGCGTGGTTCGAACATAAGATGTGAAAATTACCATCAAATACGATTTTCAATTGCACCAGCAAATCGGACAGCATTTGGGAAATGGGGCAAGTGGGGCAGGTTCCTGCGATTGACGGTCTCCTGGCGTGTAAATGGAACTAGGAACTCGACATCGGTGCGGACGTTGTCTTTGGGGGGTCTTCGGGTGGCCAGCTCTATTTATAGGACTGCTCAAGGACGGCAAAATATACACAGACAGACGTCGCCTTAATTTATAAGCACGCAAATCGCGTGTGCCACAGTGATACATACATATATGAATTTTCATGAACACAAAGTTTGGGAAGTGCATACAAAGGCCAAATAATTCTATGACTCAGCGGTTCTTTGATTTCCTTCTTTTATGCTGAAACTTGAAAGGAAATGGCGTTCATTATAGGGCTTCTGTATTTTGATAACCGAACAATTACTTATGGTTTCTTATGGGCTACTAAATTGATTTCTGTGCTATTTTTTGTAAACAAAACTTACAAAACACAAGCGAAAGAGAGAGAGAGAGAAAGAAGAGGCTAAGTGCCAATTCGAGCGCCCAAATTAAATTAGCGAATTTTTATCAATCTCTTTCACTGAGCACCGGAAATGTTTGTCTTAATAACTTAGCGTATATGTAATTTGCGCAATTTGTTCCTAATAATCAGATTGAAGCGGTTTCAATGATGATAAGTGAAATCGAAAGGTTAAACAAGATTTATAAATTGATGATTAATGAATATTCAACACAATGCGGCTAAAAGTTAAATTTCTAGAAAGTCGAAAATTAATCAATGTAAATGACATGCACCCCTACCCAATTACTACGATAAAATTACAATATTGTAAAAAAAAAGGGATTTAAAGTCTGAAGGAAAATCCCTGACCTGTATCACATGACGTATGCGTAATTTTTCACACACTTCATTGATTTAACAAGCCGGTATCCTGTTCCTCTGCAAATTTTATGCTCAGTTTGAGTGAGTTGTCAAGCTCAGTTAGATGGTCTCATGTTATTCAAAAATTTCATATTTACGCTTCAGTAAGCGTTAACAACGCCAGCTTACAACACCATTATTCAATGTCAAGGCAGTGACTTCCGAGTGGAGCAAACATGAGGGACAGAGCCAAAATAGAAACACTTTGCACTCTTCGTGCATTATTTAGCACTAGCTTGGGGACAACAGGAGGTCCATGTAAATGTTGAGGAACTGGGTGGAATATTGGTCATGATATGCCTCAAGGGTAATTACAGGCTGACGGGACTTTGTCAGCTGTCGGCAAAGCAAATAGCATAAGCGATCAAAGTCGTTACGAGCCTGGGAAATTATAATTGCTAAAATAATTCCTAACATCACGGGTGGGGATGATAAATAATGATTCACTTAGCTGGAATTATTAAATCAATAAAATTATCAATCTCATTAGCATGCAAGCTGAAAAAGTTTTTCGAGGGGAATTTTTTCGTACTTTGTTTTCGCATTTCTTGTAAAAGTTCAAGGAACTTATTGTCGTGAAAGGAACCATATAAATTGCTGCCCGTTAGTGGGATTTAAATGTCTGTCAGCACAAAGAACCAAGGTCCTGGCAACTCCTTGCTCGAGTAAAACGCACAAAGGGCACTGCAAATGCGAAGCGGGACAATGATGACAGAGGGTAAACGACAGCGTCAACTTTCTTTGCTCAAATACGAGTATTTGCCGGCGCCGGCACTAAAAATCAATAGCTGGAATGAGGAGATGGGGAATTGCATAGGGCAAACCAAGCATAATTGCCCACATTCGTACTATAAATCAAGGCTATTGCATTGTGCATATGAAATCCTAAATAAATAAAAAAATATTGCTTTATTGTGTCTCTAGTAGAACTAGTACCTAAAGCTTTATTAATACACAAATATTATGTTTAAATAAAATATTTTAACAATTTTGAAAAGCTTAAAAAATATTAAAAATTTTAAACAAACAAAATGGAAATATTATATTTTACAAAACTTAATAAAAAATAAGATAATTATTTTTGTGCCATTTTCGGAATACATTTTGTTTATACTTTTTCTAGAACTTTGAAGGTAAGACCACGGGGCGTATGAGCAACGGAGCAAACCACAAAACCCGAATTGGTTGAGCATGACAACTCCGAATGTTTTTTTAATTATGAAACTAATAAAGACAAATAGAACTGGCGGGGCACTAATTGGCACACCCAGAGATGCGAATCGAGGCTTGACTCACCATAATCCCTGTTTACGAACTTCCAGTTGCCAGGACAACAGTTGTGGGAACTTCGAAAGGCGAGTATATCCTAGGGCAACGCCGCCAGGACCCTCAACGCCTTGGGGCAATAAACGAATGCAACGCCAGGGGCCAATATCAGTATCATCGAGCCCGGCATCGCGTTCCTCGTCCTTCGTCCTGCGATGTTGATACTGCCAATCCGCGACGCTAACTGAACCCAAATATCCCCAGCAGGAGTCAGCAGGCGCTCGCTCAGCCTCTGCTGTGCACTGTGGAAAACGAGGCAAGCGAATGAAAATGTACGCCAGTTGTATTTTCACGATACCGCCATGTGCGCGTAGCAGGCGGTCAAAATCAGCTGAGAGCGCGCACGCTTTTCTCGAGTGACGTCACTGTTCGCTTGACTCATGCGCAGCCAGAGCGAGAAAGAGCGTTTCGCGAGAGCGAGAGATACTCAAATACTCGCACACTCAGATACTCAGATACTAGTACTATGTAGTACACATCTGTATCTTGAGGAAGTCGCCTGCTGTGGCGCCGAGTGTGTTTGGCCCAAATGCATGCTTGTTGCGCCACTTGGAGGCCCCTTTCACACCCCCCACCACCCCCTGGTGGCGAAAAGGGGGTAGTTCTGGCAGACCAGGGATGGCTGATGGCGTCACAGAGCGCTACAATACAAACAGTCGGGCATATCGATGATATGTATTATAAAAAATAAAAAATACATAACGGATAAAAAAGACAAAGTGGCTATGTATGCTATCCCTCGCTGTAGCTTTAGTTTGATACTTTAAGCTTACAGATTGTAAATAGATAAACAATAAATAAATAAACAAACAAAAGATACTAAGAATAAGGTTTCAAAAGAATAAATTGTTTAATTTGTATATAAATATATTTATGAGTTTAGTATGTATATCCCCAAAACTAGTTCACTTCAGAAATCAATTTTTTCTGCTAGTCTTATTAAATAATGCAAATTAAATTTGTGTATAGAAGTATTATTTTAAAAGTAATTTACGATTTTTCTTTTTGAGCATATTTTATTCTTTATAACAAATTCTGGTTTACCAATTTCGGTTGTTTCAATAAAAGATATCAAATTTATAGTTTTTCACATTCACCTATATTTTTATTTTCGTTTTAAGATTTTTAAAGAGTCAAAGAAAGGTAAATCGCACCACATTTTTATAAAGATATAAAAAAGTTCAAGCCCAAGTGGAAATATCATTATTAAAAGTTAATTAAGAAAAGATTCGACAGTATTTCTTTTATACCAATGTTTACTATTTGTTTATTTATATAGTCAACATTAAATAGAGATTTCAGTATATCAACGTCAATATATATATATACACTTCAATGAATGCAATAAATACATTTATAAATGTTACCTAAAATAAATGTTCATATACGAGTCATGTGAGAGCCTGAGATTTTTTTAACATGAGTAAGGGATGTCCCTATGAAGATTACTGTTTATAGAGTGTGAAATTCAATAGTTTTTTAAAAATTATGCTAATTGTGCTCATTGCTAGATTGGCACACACTTGGGCTGTATTTATATACATGTCTGAGTGACTGTCTTAAAAACAATGACATTGCTTTAATAAAACAAATGAAGCATAAATAAAGCTTTTAACCAAATTGCAAGCCGATTGCAATAAATAATTAAATTTCAATAAAAAAGTAATAACTTAGGCCTAATTAAGTGACTGAAAGGAACCTTCATAACACAATGAATCACTTTAAACACTTTTGACTTTTAAGCTAATCACTAAGCTTTTTGTGCACTTCTTCCAAGCAATCTGCACCGGATATTCCCGTGATCGGATTTTCGCCGTGTATAATGGCATCCATTTCGATCTGGGTGAGATTTTCGGTGAGCAGCTTTTCAATGTTGATAAACTTGGCATTTGGCTCTTGAATTGAGGCAGCATCCATGTCTTGGTCAACTGGCGTTTGGAGAACCGAACTGCAACGCTTGGCGCGCTCTAAAAAATTCGGAAAATGCGATTTTAGGCAGGTGTAAAATAAGTAAAAGTATTAAGCACATACCGAAACGAGCTCGGTGAGCCTCCTGATCGATGATAATCTCATTGGTCACATAGACTTCGCGTCGGATTTGATCCCGCAGCTCCACACTCATGTCCGGAATGCACCAACGCACCAGTATCATCACCAGCGCCACAAAGTTCTGAAAGCAAAAGGCAGCCCATCAATGTTAAAGTAATCTTCGCCACTAATTTATGCAAAATATTTCATCAGCACATGCCCTCGATTGTCAATAGATTTTTCGTGACGCTGCTACCTAATTTTGGGGTCAAATGAAGCCTGGGAAATGCCAACTTTCCAGCCAAGTTGCAATAAATGCAATTGGCTAAATACAGCTTAGGTGAGGTGGTAGCCTCAACCTTAATATATGGGGTATTGGGAACGAATTCGTCCAGATCTATTCGAAAAAAGAAACCCCGTAGAACGAAACCGGCACAACAACACTGCACTCAACAAACATGCAACATACTTAGCCATATGGACTTTGGATTTTTGCAGCATAAGAAAAGCAGAAAGTCGAGAAAATGAAAGTGAAATGAATGAAATGAAACGACAAATAAATGGATAATTGGCCCTAGTTCTACTTAGAGTCAAAAACTTTAGTTAGTAGCTGTGAAGACCTCGAGGCAAACGGTCGTGTTAAATGAAAATTAAAAAGAAATAAATAAAATAAGAAAACTAATTACCAAAAGGATATTTGAGGATAATAACAAAAAATTAGAAAACATTCACATAAAGGATACCAAGCCTATAAACATCAAATTCGTTAACAAAAAAAATTCGAAACTAAAGTTTAAAAAAACGCGTTTAAAATGAAGTATTTTGAATTTGTGAGCCTGTCGTCAGTGGGCCTCAGCATTGCCTGTGGGGACTTATTGATAGCTCTGAGCATATTGGGACCATCAAGCTATTACCTATACTTAGATTTCATGGAAATTGAGAAATGGGAGCAGGATAGCGAAGTTCAAGCTTTAAGTCCCCTTGGAACATTTTTTTCCACTTTGGGTAACTTAAAGTCAACATCAAATTACAAATATTTTATAAAAAACCATTTTACAGTGAACTATCTGTGGGTTCGAGAGTTTTCGCAGGTTTTCTACATGACAGCAACATTCATAATATGGGTAAAGTCATTGATAAATCTAATGGTTGCCTGCCTTCTTGTCGAAGGCATCAAGCAGGTAAAATATGTTTGCATTTGCTAATTAAAGTACATTTCCTTAAATTGGTATTCGAATATTTAAAGAAACGACTTATATGTATTGCTCCCTGGTTAATCAATTCCTGCCTTTCAATGGCCATTGAAACGGGCATTTTTGTGAGTCTAGAGCTCAGAATTAATGAAATTGATGCCGCTGTGGATCGTCGGATAGCAAGAAGTCTCATCTTTGGCGTATTTTTAGGTGGGTTATCTACTGATCTCATAATAAGAGTAATTAAAAACTTTAATGCATGTTTTAGTTCTCAATGCGTTATTTACTTTTGGAATCTATGGTCTCTACCGAAAGCTAAAGTCTGCGCCCAGCGAGAATATGGAAGTCATCCCTCAAAGTCCTCACACATTCAATGCCTGAAACTATTTGAAGTCCTAGTTTATCCTAAAAGAACTTGTGTTTTGGCATAGATAAATACAAATATACGAATTTAAAAACATAGGTAAAAAAGTTTTTTTCTATCTAATCAACTAACAGATTTTGATGTTTACTCACTTCGAAGACCACAACAAAACCCAACCGGCAGGCTAAAATTATATAAAACATGCTGCTCAAAGTGTATTTTTCCGGTGATGAAGGTGGTAATCGAAAGTCCGTATATCTGAATAAAATATATAAATTATATATATATATATATATATAAATAATGATTTTATTTATTTACTTACTTGCACGTGGTTATGTTGGAGAGATCGCCAGCTAAGCTGTTTAAGGTAGGTGAATCAGCCACTCTGAACTCTGATAAAGTGAAATTGAGATAACCATCCAGAGTGCCATTTTTATTTACATAATGGCGGTACACCAAACGCGGGATCATGTCAGAGGTAAAGGCAATGATGAATCCCTGGGTAAAATGGGTAAATTATTATTAATTTTTTATTAATGAGTACAAATAACCAAATAACACATACATTTGTGATCACGCTGAGTTTGCCTATGCAGTCCAGAATACGATACCATACCCCAATATCCCGAACTCGTTGCGAAACGGGACGCTTATGGTGGGTCAGTAGTTTCTTGGCATCCAGTCGCATTTCCAGAATATTATTGAGCAGGGCAAAGAATGGCGCCAGGGGAAAAGCGGCCACGAAGATGGTCACAAAGCCGTACTGCAAGACCATCTCCAAGTATTCGGGAAACAGACCTCGAGCACCCCAGTCCAGTAGCTTGAAGTCCCGCATCCAGCGTTCGTCTTTCGTCTTGTCAGGATTTGGGGTGTTGTTAAACAGCCGGGACAGGCCAACTTGAATGGCCAACACCTTGCGCCAGAACATGGGCAGATATACCTCTAGGATAGTGTTGAAAGCCTGTTTGCCCACCATTATAATGGCTAACTGGATGCACAGCTCCGTTAAACAGCCACCCGAAGAGCACTACAATAAATAAAAAGTATTTGTTATACTGAATATTAATATAATTAAATGTATAAACTCACCTCCTCCTGACGGTAGTCAAATAGTTTGTTATACTGCCCCGGATGACCCACGAATTTACCCTTGAAGAATGCTATATAAAAAATGGATGCATAGTAGTTGACAAACTGTAGAAGATAAATCTTGAGGGTCAGCGAATCATCGAATTGTGTTTGAGTGCGCCACATTTCCAGCTCAGTTAGGTACTCAGCCAAATGATTGTACATCTAAGAAGATAATTCAAATCAGTAAATCATAATTAAGTAGATAAATGCGTTTGCTCGTAACTCACATAATTTAGTATGTAGAGCAGGCACAAATTAACAAAGGCCGCCGATGCAGTGGCCAGGACAATGGCACTCGAGGTGGTCATGGGACTAGCACCTACTTTGAGAGCCGCCAGCATGGACATTCGGTACACAACCACCGCCAGGAGAGCCACAAAAGCCAGGGCAATTAGCAGCAGCACCACTGAAAAGCTGAACACAGTGGCTGGCAGCTTCATGCGCCAAAACGGCACCGTTGGCTCTTTGATATTGGTAACATAATCCACTCTCGTTGGCGGTATGTGCTCCAAACGGGCCAAATACTGCGGCCTGGGATGCTCTTCATGCACATCGAATCCGGTCAGATCCCATCGATGGGTTATCTCGGCGGAGTAACGCTTCCACAGCTCAAGGAACAGGGTCGCCCAAAAGGACATAAAAACGGCGAAGAACACGGTACTGGGATTGTCAATGAGGTACGTAACTTTGGCATAGTTGCAGGTCTCTTTCAGGTCCCAAAAGTTGCACCAATCACAGAGGGGACACATTGTTATATTTGTATTAGCACTCTGGCAAATATCTTTCCTGGAAATTAATAAAATCAGTTAGACAACTAAACAAAGAATATTATTTGGAGAAAACTCACACAGGCACATAGTTCTTAAGGGAGAACCAGGAGTATAGGAAACAAATCACACCCACAATCGAGGCCAGCAACAACATGTAGGTATAGTAGCCCAGCCAAGCAAAGTACAAGCCTAGTAAAAGGTATTATATGTCATCAAACATTAATTATTTCATTTTAAATTGTTGTAGCTTACCAATTTTGACACCAAAATACTCTTTGATGTCGTCCAAGGGTTGATAGCGATACCATTTGGGTACAGACGCCCAATGTTTGTACAGCAGAGCTCTCATGGTGCCCGTCTCTGTAATTTCACCCTGCGTAGAAGTCATATATGTATATATAATTTAGTTTGATATATTTATCTTAAGTTTATTTGTTACCCACATCATGCAATGGATAGGCAGCAGAGTAGACGCCCTCGGCAATCAATCGCTCAATGCCAAAGGCCATGTCATGTTGATTCTTGGCAGGGAATCGCTGGCGATCCAGAATAAACTCGACAATGCGGGAGCGGACGGCGGTGGTGAAGAAACAATCCTGTCGGATGTCAAAGCTGCCAGACATTGATTAGTATTTATAGATCAAAATATTTAGTTTAACTTACAGATACTCCTTGTCGCGACTGTAGATGGCGGTGAATCTATGCGCTCTTTTGGGAAAAATGTTCTCATCCACATAGATGTTGCGCAGGAAGAATTGGAAAACCGTTTTGAGACTAGAAAACACGCTTTTGGTGGAGCGATTAACCACGGACATGCCAGGAATCTGAAAAAAGTCGAACAGTCAAATTAAATATTGCTGATTTGAAGTGTAATAAACAAAAAAAGGCAAGCTGCATTTCACTACATTATATTTTCATTATAATCTATCAAGGTTAGGCTTGGGATTTAGTTCGATTTCAATTAACTCACAGCAGAAGCTAAACGATAAATAATAATTTATTATTATATTTAGGGGATTAATAGTAAAATAATTAACTGGTTCAACGCTTTGGCCAACCTTATGGGTCAGGTATTGGGCCGCATTTCGTAGACGATTCGATCTTTCAGATATGCGCAAAGTGCATAACGACTAAAATCATAGAAAACATTAAAAATTAAAATTAAAAAAGTAAATAAGAATAAAATGAAAATAACATTTTTAGAAACTGAATATTAACCATATTCAAGAGGGGCCTAAAAGTATGCTTTAAAATTGGTTCAAGCGTGTGATAAAAATTAGGTAGACTCACCTCCTTCATTGGCATACGCAGCTTAAGTATTTCCGCATACCGCCGCAGGACCTCCAAAGGGGCATGGATCTGAAAAAAAACAAATATAAATTATTTGGAATTTTGGAATTACGATCCAAGCACGCACCTTAACGAACCAGATTTGATCCTTCTGGCTGGCCTCGATCTCCAGACCCTGACTCAAGAGATTCGCCTCGAAAACACGCCGCTTCTCCGTGTTCTCCAGCTCCGTGGGCTCATGGGCACTGGTTCTGTAGGCCAGCACAAAGTCAATGGACCGAATGCAGTCCTCGAAGAACAGCGAGGCGTTGATCTCGCCCCGCTGGTAGAACTCCCTGGGACAGCTGCACTCGCGATCATCGTAGACGCCGCTTCCGTTGCCCTTCACTAAGCCCGGATCAGTCATTGGCAGCAGGGGCGTGGCTGGATGCGATGGGTTGGTCCTGTCCCCAGTGGGCTTTTTCCCATTGGCCCGGGGCTCGTCAGCGTCTGGCAGTTGGAGCGTGTGGGCGTCGCTGGGGAATAGCACATTGTTAGGGTTAGATAAGGTTAATCAGGTAGATAAAGTTTAAGGTGAATGTCATATGACACACATCCTAAGCTAAGATAAAAGTCTGTGTAGCACCTAATACACTAGGATTAAATAGAAAAGATTAAAATAAGACAGAGGTAGCCCAATAAAATTGTTCATAGTGGCTTTAATAAAAGAAAATTTGATTCACCGTATTTATTAATTAAAGAAATGTTTTTGTAAACTCATTTGGATCTAAAAGTGCCTCTTATTAGGAGTAATATATTATTATAATATTTTAAAAATGGTTTCAGAATTAAAAGGAAAGATTTCGATATGTATAAAAATGTACAATAATAAGACTTACTACACCTTTTTAAAAATTATATAAAAGTTTATTTAAAATCAAATACATCTAGAAGTCTACTACGGAAATATGTTATTAAAATATATTATTAGAAAATAACTAACTAATTATTTATTTAAGAAAAATAATCTTTAAAGTACAAGTTACAGAGTTCATTGTTAGCTCGGGAATGTTTTTACTCTATAACGTTAATGTGAAACAGTTGGAAGCCAGTTAGCGGGAGCAAAACACGTTTAATTTCCCGGGTGGCGACTACTGGCGTGCGGAAAGCTCCTAATGGTACGCACATCCCATAAAATCCCCTATAACATATTTAGGTCACCCCGAGGGAGAGCCAAAGCTACTGGAATTTAACGAACTGCCCCATTTAATAAGGCATTTAAGCGGGGTGGAGGAAGCGCAGAAGATGACCTCAGCTAACATTTGCTCTGTTTATCCCAGCAATTAAGTGTTTACGCAGTGTATTTATTGGAAACTATGAAATCTCAACATATGTTCGGATTATCACAAGTTCGGGGCAGCAGCTGAGTTATAACCTTTAACAAGCAATACTTTATTACATACAAACATTTGCTATTTATATGCTAAAAACACAGATTCATGTGATTGACTTCTGTTCGATTTTGCTGGATGAGAAGTAGCTAATGATTCACTACCGTACTCGATAATAATTGTTATAAACTTAAAGTGCACAGGAATGAGTAATCTTAGTGAATCAAAGTGCACATTTAGAATAATGTTGCATTAGAATTAAGTAAATATGTAATAATAAGTAGTTAATAAGTAATTAACTTACTAATAATAGTATATTAGCTTTACAGTGCTGATAGGCACTAATCTGGCATTAATATTATGTAATGAAATCCTTATCTTTAACGCAGCAGCTATGCATAAGCTTAACACTCCAGCTTTAGTTTAAAATAATCAAGAGATGTTTATAGTGCGCTCGAAATATTAACAATAAAATCAAAGAAAGTTCATTGGATCGCTTATTTTTCAAGAAAAGTTTATAGCAGATAATATTGATTTCGTTTTATTGAAACACAGGTCGTATACTTAACGAAAACAAAAGTTTTACTTTATAGAACGTAGTCACTAGTTCGATTTAGAAAAACCCCTTTAAAACGGGGAAACTTAAATCTTATTCGTCTTTTTTGGTTGATATTGCTACGTTCTCTTTTGTATTATTGTTCGTTTGAGCTTCTAAGTTCATCAAGCATTTTACACTTTTTTGGCCTTCGCACAACTCATAATTATCTTCCACTTCTTTGATGAAAATGTGATTAAAATTTACATACAAACAGTGTGATGGTGGTTTTTTTCTAGGCCCACACAATGAAATTTTCGGCATTTGATTTAATCAAGGCCAAGAGAGTGAGAGAGACACTAATTTATTAAACATGTGTGAGGTTTGTTTTTCGGAAATTTCTGCAGCGGCGAAAGGTGTCGGTATATTTCTTATATGTATAATTAAAATCTTCATGCTAAAATGCCACCGATCACATGCGTATGTAGGCATTATATGCACAAAAGGCTTATTCATCCGCCCAGATCGTAATACTTAAAGTACACAAAAAAAGATGCGCGACACACACATAAAGGAAAGATTGTCTCTTGGTTTTCTTACGAAACGATGATTAATACACGGAAAACCCGTTTCTTTGAAAGGTGATCGAATTTGTCTTTGGTTACAGAAACTTTGTGCGTGACCTACCAGCTGATTTAATCACATTTACCGCGGAAAACTCTTCTCCGAAATTTTCACCTCTTGTTCGAGCAAATATTTAATAAACACTAAATTAAAGTCCACGAACGTTGGCAATGGCAACCAACAAATAATTTCGGAGAGCCAAAGAGCGGCGACCAACGCGCAGCAGCAACGACAACAATCTCAAAAGTGAGAGAGGCCACAGCTGAGTTTTAGCCGGTGGGGGTTTACGGACCCCCTCCCCCCCTCGCGGATTACCTTCTGTACTTGTATATACCGCTTGGTCAGCTGTTTCTCTGCGAGAGGAGAGAGCTTTGAGCACATGTTAACTTGAGCCCCAGACACCGACTGATCATTCAGATGTCAAGTGCATTATACCCACACTTGAGCAGGTTTAAATGTAAATAAAAGATTATTCTATATAATTGTGTGCTTATTTGAAAGAGAGCAGGAAAAAAATACTGTTTCCGATTTCCCAGTTGGATAAATAAATTCCATTATTCATGATAACAAATTGGCTCAGTAATAAATAGAAATTATAAAAAACGAATTAGCTCCAATGGGTAATTACTCAATTTTCTATTAAACATTCATACTAATTTATAAGTATCATAATGTCCGTGTGGCACGGGACTAGCCCACCTTCTATGAGTCACTTAAATGATTGAAATCATGGCTAAGAAAAAATATCAAACAAATGAGAACAATCAAACCAAATATTGGCAAAACAAACAAAGAATCTCACTTCATGTGTGTGAGCAAATGTACTTTTTCGGCTAGTGTTATGTTCTACAGTCCATAAATAAAAGATAAGGTAAACAGGGTCCTCCTTAATGGACCCGAAAAATTCAATATTAGTTATATATATTTTATATTTTTGCATGTAAGTAAAATGTTTTTTAAGGTCTTAACATTTATAAATTGTTTTTAAATAAATAAAAAAAATTTAAGAATCTAACTTTTAATTAAAAACACCTGAAAACCGATATGCTTTTAAATTTCAAAGCACCCTGTATTTCATACAAGCCAAACTCAATTACAGAAAAATGACAACAAAAAGCAGACAAGTGCAATTAACTTTAATGGGCACTTCCTCGGCCCAAAAAGGTCTCAATGGGGTTTCCCGCTCTTTTGTGCTTCTGGCTTACCTTTCTGCGAATCTGGCTCTCTTATCGGCGATGCTGAGTGATTCACGAGATGATGATATTTTCTCCTGGTCCACGAATCTCTGCGATCCCCTTCCCCCCCAGAAGCTCTCCTTTCCCGCTAGTCGCTCGTGGAGATTGTGACGTTTCATCAGCTCCATGTCGAATGGGGCGAGGGGGGTGGTGAAGGGGCGTTCCAGAGGGACGACGGTGGCCGAGGCATTTCTCTCCAACAGCTGGAAGCTTTCGTCCTTGGAAAAGGGGGGCGGTGAGGGGAATTCCTCCAGGTCGGCCACTTTGGCATTGCCTAAATTTAGCATCTTGCTAGCGACCAACTTTTAAATTTAGCCAAAATGCGACTCGTTCTCTTATCTTCCTCTTCTTCGCTGCTTTCACAAGGCATCTGTATCTGTGTGCGTTTGTTGCCAAAATTCTCTTCGAGGTCAATAATAAACTTTCATCTTTACCGCTCTTGCTTAATAGAAAATATAATATCACATCTAGTTATTGCACTTTGCGCGTTTATTTTTTCAATTATCAACCAATTTCCGTTGATATAACGGCCGAGAACCGAGAGCGAAAAGCCGTTGTTTGCCAATTGGAATAAACTACTAGTGATTGATGGTGGGGGATTACCAATTGGCTCTCGAATATATATCGATTCTTAAGCGCGTGAAAAGTATCGGGAAGCAGTGCAATTTAAATGAGAAGTAAAAATGTTTAGGAACCACACTTGATAGATAAAAATGTCAAATAAAATGTGATTAAGTGTTAAAGCACACCAGAAAAGTGTAGGAAGCTAAAGAAAAAAAAGCTTAAATAATTTTTTTAAGATTTCAGATTGTGGGGGAACTCTACTGAGTTAGTCACTATATCGATAATTGGCGCGAAATTTGAATCTTAAAAAATTTGATAACACTTCCAGCTAAGTAATTTCAATTTCAATTATCCAGGTTCATTTCCACAAAATGAAATATCAATATGAACAGCATTTTGATAATTTGTTTATATCCTTCTTTATAATCGTTTCAGCAAATATAAACTCTTATAAACGTAAAATAAGACCTAAGTGTTGAATACCAGGTGAATGTTTCTTGTGTTACTCACTGTACATAAGTTTTTAAGAGAAAAACAGTTAAATATAAAAAAAAGATATCTTTAATCTTTTAAGTGTCGTGACTATCGATTTTTCAGTGTTGAAAACCGATGAAACCCATCTACTTAAAACCTTATCATACAGCAGCTGACTACTGAGGATATAAAAAATCAGTGCAAATGAAAAACAAATCAGAATCAGAAATCAATTAAAACACATGACTTTTCAGATATAACAACAACGTGTATTGGGCAAAACATAAAACAAAGATAATACATTCCCGAGCGGATGGGAGACAAAACTAATATTCTCGCTATTTTTACATGGAACAACAACGAATTTTCACTTTAATGTATGGAATAATAATACAGCAGTGTTTTCGGTATGGTAACCACTATTATTACGGGTCTAAATTATGGATTAGAGTTGAACGTGGACATTGAATTTACAGCACACATTGGCCACCGTTTACTTGTGGTTGTAGTTCTTGTGGACCTCGGGCGAGATGTTGTAGACGTACTGCAGGATCTCCTGGATCACAGGTTCCTTGCGAGTCTGGATGGCCCGATCCATATCAGCCAGCTTGACGCGAGTGTCGGCATCGATCTTGGCCGCCACCCCCTCGCGGCTGCCCATGTGCTGTGGGGTTGCAAAGGGGGTTTTACAAATTAGCGCTATGTTACCAAAGGGAGTTATAAAACGCAACTAACCTTGGCCTCGAACTCCTTGAAGGCGCGCTCGCGCTCCTGACGGAATTTCTCGATCTCCTCGGTAGCCTCGTCCTTGGCCTGCTTCAATCTCCTTGCCTTGCCTGCACAAATACCCGGGAAAAAGGCACAAAAAGTCAGTAAAATTCAAGACCTCCAGTATTTACTTTTTTCCACCACATCATGTGACCCACACACAACGGTGATTATGAAGGCGGAGGGGTGGTGAGAAAACGTAGTTACTCTTTCGCCCGTCCGTTTCCAATTGGTGGGCAAAAGTTTCCATAAAACTCACGTTTACGGGCCTCGGCGACCTTCTCGGCTGCCTTTTTCTCAGCAGCAAGCAATTGCTGGATTCCCTGCGTCTGGCTGGCCATTTTTCCTAGGTTTCTACTCCCTCGCCGTGGTGTACTGTGCAAGTCGAAAAAAGCAAGTGCCACAGAATTAAAATCGACGACGAACTGTGAAAAATGTCATATGACGAACTCACACACGCAAACTCACCACGGGGCCGTGTTTGTGTGGGTGCGGTGGTGTAAAACTTTTAAGAATGGCAAAAGTCGATAAGATATCGATAGGCTTTTTCTTACTACCTGATTTTATCCATTTTTTTGTACATTTTGTCATATTCTTTAATAACACTAATTCTTAATTAAATATAATTTTAAAAAAATTCATTATTGAAAAAAAATTACAAATTTATTATAAAACCATTTACTTTAAAACATCGATTTTTACTTAAGAGGTATAAATGCTCATAAATTTAAGAGGCTGTTTATTTACGCCTTTTGTATTTCAAACTTTTGTCAAGTGTGATTTATATGTTAACATGTGTTTTAATTTATAACAATTGATTCAGTTAAAATGCCAACATAAGATAAATAGTATTCTCTAATATTGACCATGACCAACAAGGTCGTAGAAAGTTTATGGCATTCCCGCAAAGACTATATGGCTTTAAAATTAAAAAAAAAATATGTTTTTATTAAATTATCATTTATATTCCGTTGTTAAATAATTTAGTTCCACGGTAAATATAGTGTACTTAATAATTTACAGATTTCCTCAGGTTTTAATCATTCAATATCTACGATAACTACGATATCAAAAGAAAACTCGCAGTGGTGTAAACAGGCTATACGTTTGTGCACACACTTCAAACAATACCCTCAATGCTCGGCACTTTCGATTATACTGTGTTGAAAGTAATCGATAGACACATCCAAATACCGATACCAAAAATGGCGTCGCCAGCGATTCAATAATTTCCCAGTTGCCGTGAGAAAATTGAATTTGAAATGCAGCTAATTGAGCCCCCAAGTCGGAGCGAGTGAAATGTGAGATTAATTAGCGGACACCGAAGAGCCCAAGGCATGCAAAAGAAGCCCATCCCAGGCAGGAATCCACACCGAAGTCAAGGGAAGCGGACATGGCAGCGGTCGCGAATGCAAGTGGTGCACCTGTTCCAGCGACTGCAGCCGCCCCTGGAGGAGGAGGAGGGGGTGTGGCTGGCGTTGGAGGAGCAGGTGCCCAGTTCCGGGAAATCCACAAGAACACATGGCTGAAGCGTCTGACGGCAGATGGCAAACGGTTGACCGTCGGCCCCAAGGTGGGTGTCCAAATATTCGCCGTAATCCATGGATACTTTATGCCCAATCTTACAGAAATCGGAGTGCAGCTGGGTGGTTTTCTGCGTCCACGACGATACGGAAGCCCTGCTGGAGGGCTATGCGGAACCAAGACAGGCGGCAGGACATCTACCAGAGTGGGTCGTTTCTCTGCGGGAAACCCTGCACATCTCCCATGCCCTCATCCCCAATTCCCATGAGTTTGAGTTTGTGGTCACGCTCAGCCACGAGGTGTTGCGATTCCATGCTGTCTCTTGGTAAACACAGAAAACGCCTCACACGCAACAGCGATTAAGATTGCACCACTCTCAACTTACTTTCGCTTTTTATTTCGCAGGGAAATTATGCAAGAGTGGGTGGAAACGCTGCGCTCCAAGCTGCGCGAAATGAAGATTCTGTCGCCGCGCGAAAACCTCTACACGAAGCTACCTGAAGTGCGCGCCCCACTGCTGCCCACGCGGGATCCCACATCGCCGTTGCCACCACCTCCGCCCGTTCCGGCGGCTCTGGTTCCGGGCATGGAGCGCGTGGTGGCCACCAGTAATCAGACACAGCCAGTTCCACCTCCTGAGCAGCCCTCCAGTCCAGTGCCCCCAACGCTATCTGTTCCTGCTCCCGTTCCCGCTCCCGCTCCGGCTGCCATGTCCAACACCCTGACGCAGCACCTCCTCAACATGCTCTCCGATCCCATCAGCACGTATAGCGAGCAGATCAGCGAGTCTGTAGAGCCAACCGCTGGCCAGGAGGACGCAGCGAGCGCCAAGGCAGCCTCAGAGGAGCCCCCGTCCAATAGCGATGCTGATTTGAATCTCTCGGACGACGAATACCTGTCGCCACTGCTGCGCAAGGCCTGTGTGCTCACCGAGAATGGAGTTCGAGTGGACGTCGTGGCGGCCACTGCACAGCGTGCTTCTGCCGGTAAGAAAAATACAAACAAATTTTATTATATTAATATTCGCTTGTATTAAAGAAAAACGAATTTGTGGCAATCTAAAGCGATCTTTTCAAAGACATTTTACGAATTTAAAAATCACAGACAGAGCGGTATAATACGTTTTTAACTAAACCATAGTATCTTTTATTTAATAATTCACTACATAGTTAATATCCGTGTTTTCCTAGAATCTGTTTATTAAAATCCATATACTTTCTTACACTTAATGCCCTGAAGTTGTTCAAATTTAGAAAACGTGCAAATTTAAACATAATTGAATGAAATGCCTTTAAAGTTAAACCCATAACTGCATCCAACTTACAACTAAGCGAATTATATTGTATACCCCGTTTACGAGCGAAAGTAACAAAATATATTTGTTTTCAATTCCAGATCAAATCCTTAATTTGGAACACATGCTGCAATGCGAACGGCTGATTCCCAGGTGAGCTATCCATTCCCTATAGCATCTCGGATATTTCCTCGGAGCTCTGCTGCAGGAACTTGACGACCATCTTCTTGGTGTTCGACTTGCCCTCGAAGGTGGCCAAGAAGAGTTTTCGCAGCGCGGCCAGATATTTCATCGCGCTAAGGGTCAACTCTTGGCTCTGGGCGTCCAGTTTCAGTCCGAGCACAGTTTTGTATCGCTTGCTAACTTTCGAGCGTAACTTGTCGTATCTTTGGCTAGCCTGCTCCAGCAGAGGAGCACGCTGCACCCGCTGGTAGTGATTGATATGGTCGCGAAGAAGGGCTTTAAACTGCTCGTTAAAGTGCTTCACCTGCTGATAATCGGAGTCGTCCTCGCAGAGAACACTGTACAAAGTGTCAAAGAACACCGCGGGATCTTGTCCATTGCAGAGTTGTTTTAGGGCATTGATCGAAGAGCAGGCGAAGATTCGCTTCAGGTAGCGATTCTCCTCGTCCAGCATGTAAATCTGCTCGCTTTGCATTTGAATCAAACTCTCGCTCCTTTCCCGCTTTGCTTGTAATTTTTCTATCTGACACTGAAGCTCCTGCAATTCCGTGGCCAATGCGGCATTCTCGTTGATCAACCTCTGGTTGGCCACCTCCAAACTCTCATAGGAACTGAAGGAGGACAAGTCCTCTTCATCCAGGCTCTTATCGGATCTGCAGGCTACATCTTCCCCGGAGTCTGGATGCTCCGTATTGTTATGCTTCTGCAAACTCATCTGGTGAAGAGTGCGCAAATCCAGCCGAGAACTGTTGGGATCCGTGAAAGGGTAACACAATGTTCTGCGATCATTAAGCTGCTTGTGGAGGAGCAGAAGCATATAGTTCCTGGAAAATCGTTCCTTCGATTTCGACTGCTGAAAGATGTTGAGCCATCGGGTGCAAGTGGGCACAATCTGATCCTTTTCCGGCAATCTTAGGACTAGTTTTACCACACTGGCCACCTCCTCCACAAAAAGATCATCTAGCTTCTCCTCTGTCAATGAAAACCTTTTGGCCATGCCTCACAGATTTGTAAAAGGCTACTGTTTGATTAATAGTACTTTGGTTTATCTTTTTCATCTTTTTTATTAAATAAATCTTGGCTAATCTTAATTTACACTTGCATTTTAGACCACAAACATCACGCTCTATGTCCGCTGGTGCGGCTGACAAATCAAAGAGGTTGCCACGCAAGACCCTCCACACCCAATCCTCCAGCGCCGCTGCTGCGAACAGCGAGGAATCTCAGGACAACATAACAATCATCCAGGTGTCAAACATCAGCATCAATGGCCACGAACAGCCGCCCGAACTGCCGCCCAAGAACACCATCGCAGCCGAGGTGTTTCGTTTTCCAGAGGTGAAGGCAAAGTCCCAGGCGAATGCCAAGCAGCAGCCAGCGCAGCCACATCAGGAGTATAAAAGCAATGTACAAATCATTCCGTCCAATGCCAGTAGCAGTAGCAGTACCAGTACCATTCAAGTCCTGGGCAAACAGCCCAGCAGCAGTAATCCATACACTACGCCCGTTAAGAAAAGCTCTTCCAATGGCCCCAGTCCGCAGGTTGCCGGCACCACTAAGGTTAAAGTTGTGGGCGAGGGCGAGGCCACCACCACGGTGGCTGTTTACGGCACCTGCTATCCTGCGCCCAGTGGCAGTGCCACCGTCACCGCCTGCTCCTCCTCCTCCACCACCACCTCTTCCTCTGTTATTCCTGCCAAACCGCAGACGCCGAGACTGAGCAAGAAGATAATACTCAGTGCCAACACTTCGGGCATCACGAATATCAGCGTGAATAGTGAGCAGGGCAACGACTCCATCATCAGTGGCAATGTGCACTACGAGAAGGTCTTCCTCTCCTCCAGCATTCCCATCACCACCAGAAGTAGTCCCACGAGAGCGGCAAGCTCACATAACTGCATCCAACCGGTGACTAATGGAAGTCCGGCTCTGCCTCGTCGACGCTTGGCTTCGCCGGCGGCAGCGCAGCCAGTGACGCCCAGTGCATCGGGTAGAGCGGCGCCACAGCTAACACGAGGACTAACCGAATTAGTAATTAGTTCGCGTCCCAGCAGAAGGGATTTCCACTACCTGAAGCTGCTAAACACTCCGCTGAAGACCAAGACATCCCACAAAACATCCAGCGCCACGAACAACAACATCGAGCAACAGCCGCAGCAGTCCACGCCCACCAGCTCCACCACTAGCGGGCAAGTAACGCCAGCGCAAAGGAGCAGCGCTTCCATTGCAACGGACGATAGCCAGGAGCAGCGCCGGCGCAGCTCGTCCACCTCCGATGCTCAGGCGCCTCTGCAGCGGGTCCCACAGCCGGTGACCCAGCGAAATGCTAACAACAACGAGTTTACGCCATCCCGAAACGGAGCCTTCCGCATGCAGCCTCCGCCGCAGGGAGCGCCTCCGTCCAGCACCAATCCCGTCCATCAGTCGCCCAACAAGCGATTGACCCTGCGCGAGCAGCAGGTGATGCAGCTGCGGCGGGAGATCATGCATCCGGGCGGAGTGCGCCTGAATCTCAGGCGCAAGGACTGCGTCGGCTCCATCGCCTGGGTGGATGCCTTTGGTGGCGTTTGGTAAGTCTGCGGGAACACCAAATCATCTCCGAGGTGATTGTATGTAGTCTGCTCTTAAGTTTTTACCAAAATACGTGTTGCGAGTTCTATTAACGGGCTGTACTTACAGGATTGCGGGCTGGAAGCAAAAGGAGCATCCGGTGCTCTACAATGCCCTGCACATTGGGGATCAACTGCTCTCCATCGCTGGCGTGAACATCAGCAGTGCTGCGGAGGCAAACAAGATTATCAGGAACACCAATACGCTATTTGTAAGATACTGTTGAAAAGGTTTATTAATTTGAGAACTTCCGTACATATACATTTTAATCAATGTTTGGGTTTAAATCTCAAAATGTAGGAGCGATTCCATTGTGTAATTTAATACAAAATTATCGGGAATACCAATAATCTGTTTGTAGGATATTGTTCAAAACGTTTACTAATATAACAACTTCCGTATATATACATTAAGATGGTCTCAAATATTTTGTTGTATATTTTATAGCTTTTGTCAATACACATTTTTATTCTTTCTAAAGGTAGTCTTTTTTAACTTACAAAATTTGTTGAAATTAAAAATTATATAAACATTAATTGAGATAGATTAGTTGAGATACAACTTTCAAATTTCTTACTAATTTCGCACATATATGTTTTCGATGTCCCTTAATCGTATCGTTTTTATTTAAATCGTTGATCTGATTCACAGGTTGAGGTCTTACTGCGTCGCATTCCGTTTGGCCGGGCATATGCCATTCGACGTGACCGCGAGGGCCAGTGTCTGGGACTAATTCGAGATGGAAATACGTCGACAATCGTGGACGTTGTGCCAAATAGCTTGGCCGCACGACACGGCCTTCCGCCCAAGGTGAGTGAAACAGAAATGTAGTTCTACGTAATAAATACTGATCAATGAATCCATTTCAGACGCAATCGTGCGATGGCAGCTCGCTCACCTTTTGGATGCTCACCGAGATCAATGGTCGTTCATTGAATCTGTTCTTTAAGGATCTGGAGATAAGGGATCGGCTGAACTCAGTGGGTCGGGATATTTCCATACTGGTGCAGCCGTCGGATTTGATAACCAAGCTGAAGAAGCAGCTGAAGTCGCTGCGGGGGTACAAGGATTACTTAGTGCAGTAGTCCGAAGCATTAAGGATCGATTCCATATAACCACACATAACTCGTAACTGTAATAAGCTGTTATACGCGAATCTATTTCGAATAGCTCTGGGCCAGTAATCATTCCATTTTCGCGAATATGTCAACGAACGACGCCACTATATAGTCATCTAGAATTGGTAGAATCATTTCGCTATAATACGTACTACACACCACACTTACTATGATCGGAACTACATAAAGGACTTAGGTGTAGGTGTAGGTGTAGTGTTGAGGAACATATACAAAAACAACCTATATATATATTTTTGCAAAATTTTATATAAACTCATACATATATACAACAAATTGATCATATATATATATATATATATAGATATATATACACCATATGTTTAGCTAACACTTTGAGAGGTTACCAAATTTACACCTTAAATTTGTTTGGATGCGGAAAAGATATAAGAAATTTACAACATGAAATTCAAGTATTTTAGGTTAACATATACACGCGTATCACACACACACAAACACACACACACCTGTGCAACTTAGTATCCTTATGCAATATTGGAGTGCCTCTGATTTTGTTCATTGATGTTGTTTTCTTTCATGTTTCCATTTGTTTCGTGCGAAAAGACAAAAGCAGCATCTGTCGTAACTTTTAAGATGTGATAAAAATGAGTACTCAAATTTAGGCAATTTTTAACGGTACATTTGTAAATGCTTTTTGATTTATTTTATATATAAGTTTCAGTGGGTAATTTCAAAATATACATATTATTACTGATGTAACGACCTTGCGATACATTCATTAAAGCAATTTCACACAAATCACTGACAAACTGTTCCCCTTTTGGCCCGCGTTGCCTTTTGCCTCCAGACTCGGAAATTGTATACATTCGTGTCCAGTTTGGAGTACACAAATATGGGCATGGAGTTGGACATCACCCAAATGGTTCCCTCTTCATCGATCTGTAAAGTAATTTAGTTGTTAATTACTCTAAAGACGGAATACTTTGGCTTACCGTCAAGTCGCTAGGATAAATCATTTCTCTTGCATTTGAATACACAGATCCATGGTTTTCCGCTGACGACGGCTTGCTGGTCTTCCAGCAGCCCACTCCGCTCTTCTGCACTTCGGCAAAGAAGATCACACCGGTCCCCGGATCGTACTCGTGCATGGTGGACTGTGTGGATGAACCACGGCTTCCTAGCATTTGAAAATCACTGCCGTGATCGGAGCGCGCCGCATTGGACTCCTGCTGCAGCACTCTGTTGGACACCAGAAACTCATTCGTGCTGGCCATGGGATGGAAGTAGACGTTGCGGCTGCCATCTGGTTGATGTGGTCCCAAAGTGGTCGAGAAAATGCCGTCATCCCAGCGGAATTTCTGTCCGCCAATGTTCAGATCGTCAGAGAGCGGGTCAAAGTTGAAGAAGCTGTGCTCAAAGGACCAAATTCTATCGTCTCGCAGGTGATAAACGTGCAAACGGCGATTGACCAGATCCGGGATATAAGCATAGGCATCGCCGCAATTTCCCGCCTGCACATCAACGGTGATGCTGGCCATTCCGCGACCAATTTCCACAATGCTCTGCGGGATCTCGAAGCGCTTCAGCACTCGATCCGTGGCCAAATCGACCACCCAGATACTGGGGCGCCGAATCTGTTGGCGGTTATCTAAGGTAGGGAATTTAAAATTAATTAGTTTAAAAGTTTTTCCCACTTTCAAAATGGAACTAGGTTTTAGTTTTATAGACAAATAGTGTGCAATTCATAAACTCAATGTTACATACAATAATTACAAAAGATTATTGACACTAACAAAAAGAACCACTGCAAATGAAATTAATAATTAAACACAATAGAGCAATGTGACTCACTCATGAGGAAATCACCACCATAAATAAGGTTTTTAATGGAGTGATCTGGCTTTAACCTGAAAAGTCATTAGATCTTTCATAAACTTAAATTATCTGGCACTCACTTGGGTACTCCAGCATTCCAGTGTCGACGAACCAAAGTCGCTGGCAGGCATCCACTGAGGTCCTGTAGACGGACACCAGATGCTCCGCACTCACGTTGAACTGGTTCAAGGCGAAGTTGGGATAGGCTCGGAGAATGGGACTCTGCCTCCGTCCATCTCTGGCCAGATCGATATAGTTCAGGGTGGACGGAATGCCCTCCTGCCGCCTGGGAGTCGTGATGAAGAGGCGTCCCCTAAAGTGAGTGACACCCTGGGGCACATTGTTGTATTGAATGAAGGCGCCACTATTGTTAACACCGGAATCGGAGGTCTTCAAACAAGGACGAGAATGGTGAGCATGAGGATCTATATATAGAAAGATACTACGTAGTTATTATTTGTTTTACATAGATGTATTTTAAAACTAAAGAAAGTGCAAGATATAGTCATCTCAACATGGCCTTTATCTCAGCCTTTTTTGTTACTTTTGGTTAATTTTTAAAAATAGTATATTTTTAATAATTAATTTTTAAATATATATTATTTTAATTATATCCTTTATTTTTTAGTTTTCGAGTTATTTTGATCAACAATTTAAAAATGCAATACAAAGAACGCTTTTAAAACAACAGCTTAATCTCTTACTAAAGCTCAACTTGAAATTTTGGGTACGTGTTTTAATACATACTTGTTGTCTGCGTCATCGAATATACAAAATTGTTAAGCGTAAATTGTTAATTGGACTCACCTGAGTTGTCCCCGCGATTTAAAAAGTCCATCTGCTTCCATTTAAAGACCTCAATCATGGGTTCTGCAAAGGTTGGCAATTGAAACCCTGCCATCATGCAGAGTAACAGAAGCTGTGTCGATAACATTTCTTTGTCTTCGCTATAGAACCTTAATGAAGCTTTGTTCGTTCGTCTTTCCAGGCTGAGATTTCATTAGCAACTGATACATTAAGTGATCCACAGACGTGCTCTGTACCTCGAAATGTGCAATTATAAGAGAAGTGAGACTCTCCCATTATATTTCATCTCCAAAGCTTTCGGTCAACACTAAAAATTAAAAATTAAAACTAAAACTAAACACTAAGTGATAGAATGCGTTGAAAGCCTAGCAAAATTAAATTAAAAGTTTTTTTTCCACTAAAAATTATATTTGAGCCAACACCAATAGACCATTCGAATGGCTAATGTAATATTTTTTCCGTACCAGTCAGTATTTTTTCCTTTCGAAGATGAAGAATGTCAATCGTTCTTTTGAAAACTCAATATTGCGATATTGCCATTTAGAAGATATATTAATTTTTGGAAAATAACTTTCACCTTTTTTGTTTTTCTATTTGATTCAGGCCACAAGACAAATTTAAGGATGCTATAAAAATAAGGACTTAAATTTGTCAATTTCAACGGTGCATATATTTTGTACAAAAGTTTCAGTGGGTAATTTCGATTCACTTAAGTATATATTGTTACTTATTTAACTAACGTGGGCAACATCCATTCGAGCGATTCCTCTTAAATCACTCACAAACTGTTCCCCTTTTCGCCAGCGAAGCCTTTTGCTTCCAAATGCGAAAGTTGTATACATTGGTGTCCAGCGTGGAGTAAATAAAGATGGGCATGGAGTTGGACATCACCCAAATAGTTCCTTCCTCGTCGATCTGTAAAAATAACGATCAATAAAATATGACTGTTATTGTGTTTCACTTCTCTGACCTTCTTTTTAGCTATAAAGTATTAAATCAGGTTCAGGATCAATAGTATGAATAGTATAGATTTCATTCTATTTAGTTTAGATCTCAGTTATTAAGTTCTATAAGTTTATTCTGTCAGTTACATTCAATAATATCTAACTATTATTTTAAAAGTTATTAGCATAAATATAAATTTTTTCATAGGGCATATTTATTATTTTGAAATTGGTTAACTAAGTAATGGGTATCACTTGACTGTAGCGATTATTTTTGTTTTATATCTGTGATAAATAAAATTTCCGAAATGATAAAAAAAAGAAACAACACAAAATACTTATATACCCTCGATTGTTTTAGTTAACAACCCCATAAAGTATTTATATTCATAAACAGCATCACTATCGATCTATAAACCCTATAAAGTATTTATACTCTTAATAAGCATCACTATCGATCTAGACACTTTAAATTGAAAATTAATAGTTTCGCTCACCGACAAGTCACTGGGGTAGATCATATCCCTTGCATTGGAGTCCACAGTGCCATAGTTTTCCGCCGAGATCGGCTTGCTGGTCTTCCAGCAGCCCACTCCGTTTTTCTGGATCTCAGCGAAGAAGATCACTCCGGTTCTTGGATCGTATCCGTGCATCGTGGACTGTGTGGACGGACCGCGGCTTCCCAGAACCCGGAAATCGTTTCCGTGATCTGAGCGCGCAGCATTGGACTCCTGCTGCAAAACGCGGTTGGACACCACAAACTCATGCGTACTGGCCATGGGATGGAAGTAGACGTCCCGGCTGCCATCTGGCTTGTGTGCTCCCAAGGTGACTGAGAAGATGCCGTCATCCCAGCGGAAGGTCTGTCCTCCAATGCTCAGATCCCCGGAAAGCGGATCGAAGTTGAAGTAGTTGTGCTCGAAGGACCACATCCGATCGTTTCGCAGGTGATAGACGTACAGTCGCCGGTACACCAGATCGGGAATATAGGCGTAGGCCTCGTCGCACTTTCCCGCCTGCACATCGACGGTGATGCTGGCCAATCCGCGACCCGTCTCCGCAATGCTCTCCGGGATGTCGAAGCGCTTCAGCACTCGATCGGTGGCCAAATCGACCACCCAGATACTGGGACGACGAATCTGTTGCCGGTTATCTAAAAGGGAGAATTTGTAATAATTTAGATTGGTAAATTTGATCCTTGTAGAGGGAATTAAAGTTTTATACAAATGTTTGTAAAGCTGAAATTGAGCTCTATGAAGGCACATAGAATACTTCTATATATCAAACAAAACACCTCTTAATGGGCAAAAAAGTCATAATCGCATTTTCAGCATAGAAAATTTCTGATATTTTGTGAATAAATATAAATAAATACTCTTTCTATTCGGACTATATCAGCTGGGTATTTAAACTTTTTGCCTACACAGGCATTTTCTTAAGCAGCGTTCCGAATGGGAATATTTAAAAAGAGAATTTATTTAGTAGAATGTTTAATCATTTTTCGTCATAAAATTTGATTAACAAATGTGGTATGCTGAACGGTAACTCTTCACCACTTATTTCGTTGTTAAGAGGAGTTTTTTTTTGATATATTTAGAATTTTTAAAATCTGTATGAGCTGAGAATAAAAGTATTGAAATTTAAAAGTTAATTTTAAATAATAAATGAGTATTAGACCATAAAAAAAGAAGGCTGGACTTGACTTTGGTATTGATAAGGCGCAAATACATTTATACTCACATGGAATAAAAATAGCCTAATACAATCTGACTATTAAATCAGAAAACAATGAGAGCCCTATAGAAATGCTATTACAGGGTCGCATAAATTAGAAGCGAATAATCAGCTTCGAGTGTAGCAAACTCACTTGGGTACTCCAGCATTCCAGTGTCGATAAACCAAAGTCGCTGGCAGGCATCCACGGAGGTCCTGTATACGGACACCAGGTTTTCCGCACTCGCGTTGAACTGGTTGAGCTCAAAGTTGGGATAGGCCCGCAGCTTGGGGCTCCGATCTAGTCCATCCTTGGCCAAATCGATGTAGTTCAAGGTGGACGGGATGCCCACCCGTCGTCGCGGCATCGTGACAAAAAGGCGTCCCCGGAAGTGAGTCGTTCCCATTGGGACATTGTTGTACGGAATGTAGGGGGCATTGGGGTCATCACTACCCACACGGTTATTTATGACCACCGGCGAATCGCGGGAGGTCATAGTCTCACGCTTCCGACGTGAATACCTTCCTGGGAAGACAACCGGAGCTTGGGAAAAAGGTTAAAAAATAAGTCAATATATTGAACAAGTTTTTTTTATATTTCATATAAATAAAGCGGCAAACTTAAGTACAATAATATTGTAACTTAAATAGAAATCCGCTATAAATTATAGTGTTAATTATAGTACAAATCAAAGTTTCTAGAAAATATTAAAATCCGCTCAAATTAGATCCAAACTAAAGTTATTAAGGCAATGATTAATTAAGCCATAAATTTCGTATGCAATTTATTAGATTTACTCAATGAGCCATACATTACGTATACATACCAATTGAACGACTGGCGTAATAATTATAAATATATTTCTGTTTTTTATTATAAAACGTTATCCTAACGCTACAAGTTTGGAACTTCTAAGTTAATGTGCTAGTACATTTTATTATGTAGTAAAATAAAAAACTAGCAAACTTACTTTGCATTTAGCTATTAAAATTGTTTCCTGACTCACCTGAGAAGCTGGGTCTGTCTGGTCTGCCGGTTAGCCCCGAATGTCCATCGCCACGATTGTAGAAGTCCATCTGCTTCCATTTGAAGACCTCTATCATGGGATCAGCTTCAGCCTTGGAAAGCAGTTGTAACCCCGCGATTAGGCACAGAATCAGTAGTTGCGGCGATAACATTGCTTTTCGTTTGCTGGCTAACTTAATCAAGCTCGGCTCGTTCGCCTTGCCAGGTTGAGACTTCAATAGCAACTGAAAGCCAATATATTCCCAACTGAAATCTACACGCTCTGCAGCTCGAAAGTTAAATATTAAAATTGATAAGGGAAGTGCGACTCTCACGAGTTCTCAAACCGGTTCTACGACTCGTTAGCCTAATAACATTGCCAATACTAATCGACACTATAGATTAAATTACCTTCGTAATTATAATTCAAATGATAGAAAAGTGTTAATTAGTTAATAATTTGTTTATCAACAAACAATTTTTACTTTTCACCTAAAAATATTTCATTTATTTATTTATTTTATTTTAATATTTTAAACAAATTTAAATAAAAAAAAATGATTTAAAGTTTTAACATCATCAAGCCGTAATAATATAAAACAAAATATTTCTTAATCATAAAACGTAAGTTTACGCGTGTGCTGAATTATTAAGAACAAGGTCATTAACCCCATATTTAAGTTCGGGACAAAATGACATTATATTCATATCATAGGTACATGTGCAGCCCACATTGTGCAATAATAAATTACGATTTTTTTTTGTATAAACACTGGTTGCTATTCATTAATCAATATTATTGATGAGCAATAAAAAAAAGTGAAAGTTGAAGAAGTTTCACCAACCAATTCTATTGTGATTTGTTCATTTATATATTTACATATTTGGATAACCTACTGATAACATAAAATTTCGTGTTAATTTTGTATCTGTTTTAATACCTATTTGTAGTCACTGAGATAAATCATTTACATTTTTGTTCAAACAAATTTTCACCATGCCAAGCGGATTTTTTTTAATTATGATTGTAATTAAAATTCTGCAATATTCATTTATTGATAAAACAAGAATATAATTGGCGCCAAGCTATTCAAAACCAGGATTGCTTGTAATCGATTGCCCAGCAATTATCGGTAATCCAATCGATATCGATATCAGACATGCAATTGTGTAAATAAGTGTAAACGGGGCTTTTGCAAGATGCGGTTTAATTTGTTTGTCAACGCGTTAAAACTGCTGAACAGCACAAAAAAGCCCAATTTATTGGTTGTGAACGTGCGCAGCTTGACCAGCGCCGCCCCAACCAGTGATGCAGTTGCTCCGACCACACGTCCGCCGCCCGTGGAGGCCAGGAATCCCGGAGAGGAGCAGCGATCGCTGCACATCGCCGTAATCGGGGTGCCCAATGTGGGCAAGAGCACGTTCATCAACAACACGGTCAACCACCGCGTGTGCCCCACCTCGGCCAAGGTGCACACCACCCGCCAGTCGAGCACGGCCATTTGCACCACCGGTCAGACGCAGTTGGTCTTCTACGACACTCCGGGACTGGTGACCCAGCACGAGATCCGCCGGCACCATTTGGACCAGAGCTTCAAGAGCGCCTACCGCCATGCCATCCAGCATGCGGACATCATTGCAGTGGTCCACGATGCCTCAAACGGCTGGACGCGGAAGGAGTTGCACCCCACAGTCCTGGACACGCTGAAGGCGTACAGCCACCTGCCCAGCTTCCTGGTGCTCAACAAGATTGATGCCCTGAAATCGAAGCGGATGCTCCTGGACCTCATCAAGACCCTGACCAACGACACCCTGACTGCGGGCAAGCGAGCAGCTCCGGGTAGCACTGCAGTTGATCCGCCGGCGAAGGAAGTGCGCCTCAACAAGCGGGAATTCAGTTGGAGTCACTTCAGCGACGTCTTCCTCGTCTCCGCCATGACGGGCAGCGGCCTGCAGGAGCTGCAGCACTACCTGGTGGGCCAGGCCAAGCCCAGGGCCTGGAAGTATCCAGCCGACAAGCACACCGACTCCAGACCGGAGGCTCAGATTGTGGAGAGCGTGCGAGCCCGCCTGCTGGACTACTTGCCGCAGGAGATTCCCTACAACCTCAAGTGCGAGCTGGAGTACTACAGTGTGGAGAAGAGTAAGCAGGAGACAGGCCTACCTTTTGCAAAGCTAGAGTCCTGAGATGATAGTACTAATACAAGTAGCCTAGGTGTTAAACCGCAAATTCTTCAGCATAATTATAGCCCATTTGCTTTGTGTTTAGACTCAAATAAGACGAAACTCATCTATAGAATATGCGGTTTGATTCGCCCATCTGTTAAGAATCCTATTCTGAAGAATTCATAGTTAAGCACAGACCAAAAAGCTTTATATTTCCATACTGCTAGTTAGGTTAGGTTTATAATCCAAACGCGAATTCTTCAGCATAGAATTGACCAACTTGACATTAGTATTATCATTTATCATTGTATAATCGCTTTGTTTTAGATCCTTTCTTACTCCGTTCTCTTTTGCAGATGTGATTTACACCTCCGTGCAGGTGCAGTGCCCGACGACGCGAATTGAGCGCCTGATTTGCGGCGAGGGCAACGGCAAGTTGCGCCAAATCACAGAGCGGGTGACCTCTGACCTGGTGGAGATGTTCGGCCAGGCGGTGTCGCTCACCATCTCGACGGTTGCCAAGGGCAAGAAGAGCCCATCCTAAGCAGTTGTTGTTGATTACTTTATTGTACTTTATTTGTAACGTTACATAAACCTAAGAGTTCACAAAAGCTTCAAATGCGCCACCAGTTTGTCCAGATCCTCGGCTGGGGCGGGACCCAATCCCAGCACGGTGGCCGTTCCCGATTCCAGCTGCGTGCGACCGGCATCCCGCACCATGGCGGCCACCACGTTCGCCTCCTGGGCCTGCCGTTCCAGTGAGCTCAACTGCTCGAAGTTGTCCACGCGCAGGACAATCTTTGGCTGGCCCAGGCGGCACCATCGCTGCAGGATGGCCTTCTGGAGCTTGGTACCCTGCTCCGAGCCCTGGTAGCACATAACTGCCGCGTGGGCACACTGCGCCGCCGTCTTGCCTTTGGACATTTTGAGGTCGGACCGCACCACCAGGGCCAGTTTGGTGGACTTGCCGAAGGACAAACTGTTGCTGAGGAACTTCTGCAGGATGCTACTTGACGTGGGCATATTTCTGGCTCTGCTGCTCCACGTACTTCTGCATACAAGCCCGGAACTCCTTCACCTTGTCCTGGCAGGCCCGCCAGTCGCCCGTTTCGGCAATGCACTCCTGCACCTTGTAGTGGAGCTCTATGCAACCGGTCTTCTTCAGCATCAGTTCCACTGGATCCTGATCCGTCGCTGCGGACATTTTCTTCTGCACGCAGCCGGCTGAAATTGCTATTGCTCCAATTCGTTTCGAATTACGAAATTCGGCCAGGGTTGCCAACGCATCGCATAGATTAACGATAGTTTTCGATTACTGTAGTGCGATATAAGTTTGGCACTAAGGTACCGCATTTTGTATAAAAGCGCACTAAATATATATGAAATTGTATATAAAGGCTTACAATTTCAGCCATCATGTGAAGGGCAAAAACAAATAAGCGCAAATTTATGTATGTTAGTAAGTTATTGGAAAATATTCGATATAGAAAACAGAAAAACAATAAATTCTATATGTATGTATTTTAAAAAATAAAAGTCGAGTACAATGTGTTTATTTATTTATATGGCAAATAACGAGTAGTAAATTAATCTGATCTACATTTTCTTTTATCAAAACAATAAACACGCTATATGTGACTTTTTACATATAAATTAATTCCATTTTAAATTAAATTCGAACTATGCAATTCGAACTTAAAACAATTAATTTCATTTAAGTATGTGTATTGCTCTCATATTTAAAAATTTAGAAAAGGCTAAAAACTCTAAAAAATATTTATTTTAGATCGCTTAATCAAGAAGCATAAACCTTTTTTCCTGGGCTTTTAAGCGAGATCAATTTTACACGTTTGCGGGAAAACAAAAAAGATATGGAAGAATGGTAGTAACAAACGTTCTAAGCGGGAAAACTGTCGGACATGGTAGTCTTCCAGAAACCTTAATTTTGTAAAAGTTTGGGACCCGCGCGATTCGCAAGTTTAAGCAAGTTACAGTTCCGAAAAATAACGTGTAAAATAAATTTATTACAAAACAAGTGTGACCATGAGGTCTGAGCATTTTCCGGCCCCCTTTGCGAGGCGTTACGGTATTCCAAAGTAAAGAAACGTCGGTCACACTGCTGCAATTGCAATCAACGAGCAACGAGCGAATTGCAACGAGCAGGCGAAAAATCACAAAAAGCGGAAAATCACAACAATCGTGGGTGCAAACGGAACGGAAACGGCGAGGCAACGGAAAGTGCCCGGAAATCGGATGGCCCGGCAGTGAAAGTCCGTAAACCAGAGGCGCACTTGGCGCGTTTAGAGGGAAAAGGCGCGTTAACGTTGCGTTCTTTTCCAAACCGATTCGATTCCAAAACCAAACCAATCCAATCCCCACACACACACACGCACACGCACACAGCAACCCATACACACATACAGTGAAACGAGTGAAAGTGCATCTACATCTGTGATTTCGTATATAATAATGCGTCGCGCATACGCGGATTTGGCCAGCAGAAGCACCAAAGACTAGCAAGTGATCCAATCCCAATCCCAATCCGATTCGGTCCGATCCGGTCCGGTCCGGGGATTGAGTTGGTCGGTTGGCCAACCCAACAGCCCCCCCTGCAACCCCCCGCCGATCACGATGGCCGATCAGGTGGCGCACACCAAAGAAACGGATGCGGAGGAGCCGCTGGTGAATGGCGAACTGCCATGTGAGGCGTCGCCCTCCTGCTGCCATGTGATGTCCGCCCTGGACGGCGATATGGATGTGGATGTGGATGTGGATGTGGAGGCCACCTCCTCCTCCTACTGCTCCGCCAATGCCGATGCCGCCGCCACCGCCACAGCCACAGCCACTTCCCAGCTGAATCCGTCGCCACCGCCTGCTGTCCAGCAGCACGCGAAGCCGGCGCGGAGCAGCTCGCCGCCCTGCCATCTCCTGGAGCGGCTCAACTTTCCCGAGGGCAACATCATCAACACGCTGCACACGATCCTCGCCCTGCCGCCCTTCGATCCCTACGCCCCCGCCCCCAAGGCGGAGACGGTCTACAAGGAGGTCGTCTCCCTGATGCAGTGGAGCCAGCGGGAGGACAACGCCATCGAGCTGGAGCTCAGCGACAAGCTGCTCCACGAGTGCGAGCACAAGGGCGGCGGCGATCCCAACGACGAGACGCGTTCATATTTGGTGGGTTTTCAAAGGGACAATAAGACTAGGGATACTACTATTGATAATATCACGTACTGAGGCTAGCTTATTGTTAACTAAGGTCCTACTAAACGTATTTTGTTTGGATTGATTCTAACATAGAAAATAGATCGTATATTAAAAGTATAAATATTTGGAAGGACGACCTATTCCTATTAGTTCCACCGATTGTATAATAGGTCTAGGGAGATCCACAAATTATTCCTATTGCAAACTTTAATTGGCTATTGGGCAAGTAAAACAAACTAGATGGAATAATATTAATTAGTAATTCCCTAAAGAGTTTCGTTGAATTTATACTCAAACAAGAATTAATCGTATTTAGTTTCTAACGGAATAACAAGGTTCGTTTGCTATATCATCGAAAATAAGAATTAGCTTAGAGTTTAAATAACTTTATAGTATTTCAATTGGATAAAAGATTCAGTTTTTACTAAGTTATTATCTTATTGGATCATTTTTTCACACCTCAAATTTAAACTAGAACAGAATATTAGTATAATCAATCAAATAAGCATTAGATTATATATATTATTATGTTTAAAAAAAACGTAATGATAGATATTTGGATAGATAAAATACATGGAATTAAGAATTACTCGTCTTAAAAACAATTTTATACCCTTAAGAGTATAGTAAATTATGATCGCTAACACTGTTATATCCTTTTTTTGCAGATGGCCATTGAGAACATGCGTCTGTTCTCGGAGGATCCAAAGAATCCGCTGCGTGATGCCGACGGTCAGCTGCGTGCAATTACGGTGCGTTTTCCTGAAATACTAGCACTTTATAACGTAACGTACTCCTAATCCATTGCAGCTATATTTCCAGAATCTTGCCTTCATATTTGTGAAACACCGGAAGGAGGAGTTCTTCACGTTTTGTTCCTGCAAGGAATGTCTCGAATACCGCGAAACCATCATGGCTATTATGATGGATCAATTTAAGGCTGCGCACATGGTGGTCATGTTGCTGGACGTACTGATCAAAGCCTACAGTCCCATGCTGAAGTAAGACAAATCTAAACAGTTTAAAAAAGTATACACTATTTGTGTGCGTTGCAAACATTTCGAGAGTTATAGTAATACATTTTTGGTCCCTCAATCTTAGGTCAGACGGTCAAAATACTTGCAAATTATTATTATTTGTTATCAAGATTAGTCATATACTTTCGTGGAAAAATCAATATTTTTTACATTTTTATTTGAAATTTTTGAAATATGATAGCAAGCTTGAATCATTCAAATGATTTTATTTATTGAATCATTCTTCACATATTTTACTTTTACTTTCTGTTGGTTGGAATTAGAAAACACCTAAATAATAGACATATAAATTAATGTATTAATAACTTATCTACTATTTAAAAATCTTTTTTACAGAAACGATGCTGCCTACAATAAGTTTGAGAAGCTGCTTGAATGCAACAAGGAGATCTATTGGATTACAAGCGGCTACCTCTACGATAAGAATGCCGAATATCTTGATTTTATTGATGATACAGCGATCTCCGATAATATGATATTAGTGCTATTCAGCGCCATGTAAGTAAAACCCTCTGGAGTGGACCACTACTTTACTAAAAGCGTTGATTGCAACCCTTTCTACATTCCAGTTTGATGGCCAACAATCCCATGCTGCTGCTACAAATACTCGCCTATAATGTGGAATGCATTGTGAAGGCATTCTCCGAGGGCATGATCGAAATTGCCCAGAATATCCAGGAGAACGAGAAAATTTCCGGAGAAAGGATGCTGACATGTAAGAGCATAACGAAAGCGATTTTCAAATCAAGATATTTTTTTGCAACTGAGAGAAAGAACTATATTTTTTCAAGCACACAGAAAAAGGTTTTCCCTAGATAACTATGACGCATATATTTTCATTCCAATCAGTAAAGAGTGATTAAATAAACTTGGAATGGATTTTTTTTTTATAACATTTGTTTAATGAGAGCTCTTTATGAACTCTGACGTATTGCATAAATTTATAAGCGTTTATTCCAAAAAATTCGAATGAAATTTAATCGCTAGAATGCTTTTAACTATGATTCATTGCTCCATTTAATCCCGTTTAGACATTCTGGATGGCTACTCCGATCTGAATTGCATCTCGCAGAAGATCTCCCTCAGCCTGTTTGCGTTTGAGAACGACTTTCTGCGCAAGTTCAAGCTGTCGTGGGTGCTGCTGTGCCAGCGTCTGTTCCAGCACCACGTCTTCACGCCCCTGGGGGACACCATGCTGGCCTGCATCCTGTCGCTGAAGGAGGCGGCTCCGTCGGCCCAGACGACGGCACTGATCAAGCGGTACATGCTGTTCGACGAGCACATGCACTCCATCGAGCGCCGCTGGACAGACATCTGGATCGAGCTGAACAAGTTTAACTTGTCGCCCACGGAGCACGAGCGCCGGATGGGCCTGCTGGATGTGTACAACATATTCGACAAGGTCGTCCTGGACGCCACCTCGTTCTCGCTGCCGGACATCAGCGACGATGAGTTCATCGACTTCCAGCGCATCGTGGATCGCCAGCTGGCCTGGAAGAACATCATGGCCTTCACGAAGCTGAAGTGGCCGGACGGCTTCTACGATCCGCCCAATAAGCTGGTGCACGAGGATCTCTGCAAGAAGTGCAATTCATTGCTCGAGCACCATAACGAGTAAGTTCAAGGAGTTCTATCTAAAATACTTTCAACAAATCGTAATAATTAACCATTTTAAAATTACAAATTTTTCGATTAAAATATAATAACATTGAACTAGCCAAAACAGTCTACAAAATAATGAAATTTAATACCAGGCCTTACAAGAAGAGTAGCAACTAATTAAGTTTTAGGAGTCCTATTTAAAATCCTTTCATTAAATCGTTATCATTTATATGTAGATCTCTTCAATAAAGGGAAACGGAAACATTTTTTAAATGCGAAGTATTCGATGAATTTATAAAAACATTTTCCTTGTTTGTAAACAATAGCTCTAACATTTATACTGCAATTTCTTATCAGCTCGTAAAAATAGGGTTTAGTCTTTAAGACTTGAAAAACCAAAAAAGGGAAAATCTATGCATATATTACGAAATCTTCTAATCTTTTTCATAATCAGCCTTTATGATCATGTTTATAAAAACTCTTAATACTTAAATCCTTTTTCCTTTTGCAGGGACTGTAAATGCATCACTTGCTCCATCGCCGGGACTCCATTGCGACCGCGGCAAGCGGGCCATTGTGCCAAGTGCACAACGCTCGGCATTGTCGAGAAGGATCCGAAGCTGATGAAGTCCAAGATCCTCAGCACCTGCACCAGCGACGAGGCTAAGCACAATGCGGCTACGGCTGCGCTGGCGATGGCGGCCAGCACGAGCTCCTCGGCCGCCCAGCAGCTGCAGCAGCAACGTCGCACCAGCGATCTCCCGGAGGATGAGTCACCATCCGGAAGCGGCGGCGGCGGCGGCGGCAGCAGCAGCAACAGCGGATCGGTGTTCCGGCGGCAGGCGGAGCCGACGGACACCCTGCGCACCACATATCACATCGCATGGGCGGTGTTCCAGCACCTGACCACCAGGAAGCGCTACCGCCACGACACGATCGAGGCGCAGTTCTTCTGCGGCGAGAACTGTCGGGTCTCCGCCTGTCAGCTGGCCAGGAAGATCCTGGCCAACCAGCTGTCGCCGCCGCTGACCAAGTATCTGCTGCGCTGCTTCCAGCCGCTGTCCTTCACGCGGGAGGAGCTGCGCTCCACGCTGCCCTCGCTGATGTTCTTCAACCGGAAGCTGGCACCCAGTCCTGCCGAACTGCAGGAGCTGAGGAACCAGCATTACGTGTACAAAACCTACTGGACCTTCGTCCTCTCCATCTACGCCAACTTCTTTGTTAAGTTCAACTCGAGCAGCACGGATTTCGACCACCTGGAGCTGCTGAAGGGGGATTTGCGCCTGCGGCTGAACAGTGTGGTTGGCGACAAGGACGACGGCCGATTCGAACAGTTTCTGGCCCAGGTTATTGGGTAAGTCTTGATCAAAGTCATTTCTGCTACGGAGATTGCTAAATAATGTTTCAATTCCACTTATGCAGATATTCACCTTTTAAAATCACTGATGAGTAAGTATGGGTTTTTATATTTCTGACTGCCTTTAAACTAAATGCACAACAAATACACTGCCTTTTTGGGTTTCTATATTTTTATTCATAGAGTAAGAACTATATAGAGGCACCATTTGCTCTGCCGCTCTCTTCATAGAGTAAGAACAATATAGAGGCATCGAACCTCTGCTGAAATAAAATTAAAAGTACTTATTCTATCCGGTTAGACTGGCTGACTTTTCAGTAATTAACAAAAAATGCCCTAATAAAAGATGAAATGGTATTAAATTATATATTTCACTCACGAAAAAAGGAGGTAGCTTTGATTGGACAAAATATAGTGGCAAAATCAAAGTTGGCAATCCTACTCTAAACCACTGAACTAATTGATAACTTTATCTATCTATTGTTGATTGATCGAAAACACTTTTCATCGTATCACGGTATTCCCTATCAGAAAAAGAACTTAACAAGCAATTCTAAGGAAAACAAAAATTTTTTTAATTCTTATATCAAATCTCTTAATGTTATTTTAAATCGGAGTAATAATATGTAGAAAAAGGAGACTGTTTTTTCGGCTCCGTGGCAACATTGCAATGCAGCAGGCTTTGTATGACAGCAAATGACATTTTGCAAACGAATCTAAGGAAAATTAGTTTGTGCTTTGTTAAACTTTTCCGATTTCTACTACATTTTGTATTTATTTTGCAGTTTTACGCTGGGTGATGCCAACATAGAAAAGATGCAATTTGGAGTGGATCAGCTCATGATGTTGCATGATTCTCAGATAATGTAAGTATAGAACAAAAAATAACACACCATTACTATAAAAGATGAAGAATTCTCCAAAGGGAGTTTGTTTAAATGGTAAAAATTAAAAGAAGAATGGGAAGAGAAATATGTTATTTCAAACAAAAACTTGTACTTAAAAATGATGCATAAAATATATTTCAACGGTATCAAAGAGTTGTTTCTTAAAATCAAATTAAATTTACCAAAGGAAGAAGCTCTGTAAGGTTGCATTCTTTATAGATATATTTACTAGATCAAATCTATTTTTTTTGCTTTATCCTAAAGGTTTAACAAACTTATGTATATTTTACTAATGTCATCCAGTCGCTAATGCTCTGAATTTTAGTTAACTTTTATTTTAAAATATAATTTAGCTTTGTATAAAGTTAACTTTTAGTTTAAACTATAATTTAGCTTTGTGTAAATAAATAAATAAAATATTTGAAATCATTTAAGAGTAAGTAATAAGCTAGATAGCACTAAATTTACTTGATCAAATCTTTATCCTTTCAGAAAACGTACTAAGCCAGATAGCACTACGGGCTTGTCGGGTGCCAAATCCAAGGGAGGCGACTCCAACTTGTCGCAATCCGGAGGCCGCAATGGCGATGCGGGAGGCAGCAAGAAGAGCAAGGAGAAGATGCGCAAATGTGAGTATACCTAAGGTATATTTCCATTAATTATAAGTAAAATTATGGGCTTCTCTAACCTGTTTAGGCTGTGCTGACTATGCGGACATTGGGGAGCCCTGCAAGGAGAATCACTCAAAGAAACGCGTCAAAAAGGAGTGCAATCATGCGCGCTTCAACGAGACGCGCGATCGACTGCGCAAGAAGCTCTCCCAGATTGTCAACGAACGCAAGACCAAGTCCACGGAGGAGGCCACGCCATCCAAGGCCAAGTCCGCACAGCCGGAGCCAGTTGTTGTGCCACCGCCGGCAGCCATCCCACCGAAGCGGCCGCCCAAGGCCGAATCCCTGCCGCCCAACCAGCCACCCACCCTGAAAGTGTTCGCCACGGCCCAGCTGCAATCAAGCAACAGCACCAGTAGCAGCAGCACCAGCGCCAACGCCATTCCCAGCAATCCGCGAAAGATGCCGCCGGCAGCAGCGGCTGCAGCGGCGGCGGCTGCAGCGGCAGCTCTCAACGAGATTGGCGAACAGGTGGAGCAGGAGGGCGACAACAGTCTGCTGCGCCTGGACAGCCTCTGCAAGCGTCTCCAGATGCACACGGATGCCACGGACGTCGGGGCGGCGGCAACTGCCGCAGAAGCGGCCGCTGCGGTGGCCGCCTTCAAACGCGGCGGCGGCTTTCCGGCCGACTACAGCAAGGAGGACATGATGCAGGATTTTGCCGAGTTCCTGGGCACCTACAGCCAGCAGGACAGCCAACAGGATCAGCAACGCTGGATCAACGAGACGCTCAACTTCATCGAGGGCAAGTCACAGCAGCCGCAGACCTCCAACCCAAAGAAGGCGGCCAAGAAGGCCAAGCAGAAGATGCGCAAGGAGGAGGAGAAACGCATCAAAGAGCTGGAGGATTTGCGTGGCCAGTTTCTGGACATCTACTTCAAGGAGTTCATCGACAAGTACGAGATGAAGGCACTGACGGCCGCGGGCGGCCGGAAAAGAGAGAAGAAGCGCATCGGTGAGCTGGAGGCGAACATCAAGAACCTGCAGCGGGCCAAGGCGAAGGTGGAGACGGTGATCCTCGAGCTCATCGCCACCGTCAAGCAGTCGAACAGCGAGTTCAAGTTCTCCTACCTGCCCACCAAGCAGCAGCAACTGGCCAAGATGGCCCAGCTGGAGGAGATCCTCAACGGGGGCTCGCCACTGGTGGCCACTGCCGATACTGCTGCTCCACCGCCACCTGTGCTCCAGTACCCCCAGTACAACAGCAGCACCACCAGCACCACCAGCAGCACCAGCACCTCCTTCTATTCCGCTCCAGCTCCAGCTCCAGCTGCAATTTTGGGTCAGCAGAATACGCCCGTATGTTTTGCCCCGCCGCAGCCGTCGCAGCATCCGGTGCAACTGTCACGGGATGTGATTGCCGCCATGGCGACCAACTCCATCACTGCCGATCCCTCGAAGCGCATTGTGACCATACGCCGCGTGCAGCTGCCCCATCCGGGCGCCGAGCAGCAGGTGACCGTGGTGGCCAAGGGCAGTGCTCCGCACGAGGACAAGCTGCTCTACACCTTTGTCAACGGGCACATGGTGGCCTCGGCCCCGTCCCAACCGGAAGAACCCATCCCTCTGCCCGTCGCCGCTCCGGCTTCAGTGCCGGAAAAGAGCGCCAAGGCCAAAAAGAAAGAGGCTAAGCGAGCGGCAGCAGCAGCGGCGGCGGCAGCAGCGGCGGCAGCAGCGGCGGCGGCGGAACAGGAGGCCAAACTGAAGAGCAAGAAGCAGGCGAAGAAAACTGCTGTGGCGGTAACCACCGCCTCCAGTTCCACCGCGAGCAGCAACTCCTCCAAGTCGCAGACGCCGCAGAGCACGCGCGAGAGTTCGGTGTGCAGTGTGAAGCCAAAGGCTGCATCCAAGAAAGCGGCTGCCAAGCTGCCACCGCCCAAGGTGGTGGAGGTGTCGCCAGTGCCAGAGCCAGAGCCAGATCCAGAGCCGGAGCCTCCGAAGAGGCAGAAGCGACTCAAGTCGCGACTGGATCCCGGCCAGCTGGACAACAATCCCTTCAAATCGCTGCACATGCAGGATTCGTCGGAGGGCGAGTGGGAAACGGGCAGCGAGTCGGAGGATGGTGGAGAAGTGCCAGCACCAGCGCCACAGCCCATCAGACAGCAGCCCACCAAACAGCCAGCTGCTTCAGTTGCCAAGCCAGTTGCTCCACCAGTGGTCACCAAACCGAAGCCAGCTGCTCCGGCTCCAGCTGCCGCATCTGCCAAGAAGGTGAGGCAACAGGAGGCGCCGCAAAAGCAGCAGACCTCGCAGCCAGCGAAGGTTCAGGCCCAGGCAAGAGGCAAGGCCGCCACTCCCGCTGCTGGCAAGTCCAATCCCCAACAGCAGCAGCAGCAGTCGTATCAGCAGGAGAAGGCGCCGCCTGCCAAGAGCCAGCCTCAGCGTCCAGCGGAATCCGTGCGGAAGCAGAAGCAGACTCCTGGAAATCCCCTCGAATCCAATCGCAGTGCCCACAGCCAAGCGCCTCAGCAGACGCACCAGCAGTCGCGAGGTGGCCGAGGTGGAAATGGTCGGACGAAGCCCTCAACTGGTGGCCAACAGCAGCAGGTTCAGCAGCAGCAGCAGCAGCAGCAGCTGGCTCAGCAGCACTCCAATGCTCATCCCGTCGAGGCAAGCGCTCCTTCGAAGAGATCGCAGCGCGGCAAGCGCGGACATCGCCAGAAGCAGGGTGAGTTGGGGAAAAAAACTAGGGATTTAACTTTAAAATTCTCTACAATAGCATAGTTGCATTACTCGTAGAGTAAAAAGGTACATTGAACACGTTGAAAAGTTAGTAATAGGTTTAAAGAACCCATAAAGTATATTCTTGATCAGAATCAATGTCCCGTGTTGAGAAATGTACTAGTTTTTTGGATCTAGGTAAGGTACAAGGTATTTAAATAAAAAAGTACCTAGGTAAGGTAAAAGGTACACAAAGGTACTTTTTTTTTTTTAATTTTCACGAAGTTGTAGTTGAATTAGGAAACATCGTAAATCTTACATGTGCGGTGAAACTAAATTTTCTTCAAATTGCAGTCAAATTATGTTTTTTATTTGCATATTGGCGAAAATAAAACCAAATTCAATTTAGTGGTATCATGCTAATTTGAAAACAAAAGTAAATATAGATATTTCAGTACCTAAATACCTAACATAGCAAATTCTTAAGATAATTAAAAAGCTTAACCTAGGTAACGCAGGTAGTTAGGTACAAACCTAGGTACATATACATAGGTACATCCCAAAAGTTTGTCATGTCAAGCTGAGACACGCTAGAGGTCATTTATAAAGATGTACATATGTATATGTATGTTAATTTAGTTAATATCTTTCGACTCACACAAAAATGTTTCAAATCGAACCATTATTTTAGAAGTTATAAGCTGAAATGTAACAGATGGCGCCACCAAAAACTTTATTTATTTTTAAAGTTATAAGCTAAGTAACGGTTATCTTACAGTCGACTTTAGCATTCCTTATAGCTTACATTTATATTGATTCACCCTGACTTTATATTTATCCTGTCCTAAAATGTAACATCTAGGCAGATGGCGCCACCAAAAACTTTATTTATATATAAAGTTATTAGCTAAATAACGGTTATCTTATAGTCGACATTAGCGCTCCTTCCTGTTTACATTTATATTGACTCACCCTGATTTTCCATTTATCCTGTCTTGCAGAGGATCTCTCCGGCATTCCACACAACATGGGCTACTTCAACCCCAACGAAGTGGCCATACCTCCACCGCAGACGGGCAGCTATGCCAGCACCCTGGCCCAGCAGATGCAGCACCTGCGCATCGGCCAGTCGGGCGGCAGTGGCGGCTCGAAGCAGCCATCGCAATCGCCCAACTGCAGCATCATGGATCAGCTGAACCGCGGCGTCCAAGTGGAGCATCTCTCACTGCCGCCCGGCATCACGCTCACCAAGGTGGATCCGGCCAAGAGCGAGCAGTTGCGCCAGAAGAGCGAGTCCATCCGGCTGCTGTCCAAGCCGCTTTCCGAGCACCAGCAGCAGCAGCAGCAGCATCAGCAGCAGCAGGCGCAGCAGCATCACTTCCAACAGCAGTCGCACCACCTACTGGCTGGCTACTATGGAGCAGCTGGGGCCGCGGGCATGGATCCCAATGGTGTGATCATGGTGGAGGCCAATCCGCGACCAAATCGCAACAGCCAGGCTCCAGCGGCACCGCCAAATGTGGCTGCCGCGGCATCGGCGGCCAGTGCCAGTGGTAAATCCTCAAGACGACGGCGCCGCAATCGTGGCAAGTCCGGTGGTGGTGGTGGTGGTGGTGGTGGAAGCGGCGGTAACAATGGCACTTCCGGAGCAACCAACAAGCAGCGATCGGGCGGAGGAGCCTCAGGATCGGGAGCAGGTGATGGCCTTAAAACCGCTTCTTCGCAAGCCCCTGCAGCCACCATAGAAACCAATGCCAGCGGCAACATTATCACGCTGCGGAATCCCATGTTCCATCAAGGCAACGGTCCAGTGGCCGGCGGTGGCATGATGCCACCAAATCCCAATCCAATGCCGCCAGGTAAGTGTAGTGCAGCATAATAAATTATAAAAGAGGACTTGTTAAAACTTCCAACTTGCAGTGCGAAACTTTGGCACTGGTCTGCCAGTTGCGCCGCCAATGGCCATGGATCAGCCAGCCGCCATTATTAAGAACGAGAACGGCATGTTCACCATACGCAATCCGGCGCTGCATCAGGCGGTCACCAATGGCCTGGCCATGGGCGGCTATCGTCAGTTTGGCGGCAACGTCAACTACTACACGCCCCAGGAAGCGGTCGCCGAGGCGGCACGGGCCACGCAGCAGAAGCAGCAGCAACAGGCTACTGCAGCCACTGTTGGTCAGGTTAGCAGTGGCAGCGGAGGCAACAGCGGGAACAGCAACAACTTCTCCTACTTCTCCAGTGGAGCGGCCAGCAGTGGCAGCAGCAACGGCGGCAATGGGACGCACAACAATATCAGTATTAGCTGCACCAATGTGCCACCTGGCAGCACCGGAAGTGGAGGCAACAGTCCCGGTCGACTGGTCGGCGATGCGGCGGTAATAGCCCGTCCAAAGCAGTCGCAAAAGTGTCTCTCGGCCATCGGCAGCGAGCTGAAACAAAGGGCCAAGGACAGCAAGTGGCCGAGCTTTGGCCAACAGCAGCAGCAGCAGCCGTCGTCGTCGTCGTCGGAGTACAATTCTGGGCCAGGAGCAGGCGGAGGGGTTCCGCTGCAGGAGAAGTACCAGCAGTCGAGCTACTACAATGGCTTCGAAGTGTTCTCAGCAGCGGCAGCGGCGGCTGCCGCTTCTCAGGCTTCTGGCGGTGGCGGAGGCAACGGAGGTGGCGGTGGATCGAGCGAATGTCATATGCACCACAACTGTGGCGACGACTCGCCGCCGCCCACCATCACCGGTTTCAATTCCTATTTGGAGGGCATACCCAACACCGGAGTCATTCGCTACGACGACGCAGCCTTCCTCAAGAACTTGATACCGGGGCAGCATCTCAACAACGAGGTGCGTGATTGGTCTGGCAACTGGCTGTTGGGCCAGGAGATCTGTTCAAACTACCCAAACTATCCGGTGTCCCTTGAGAGTCACCAATCCATTCCCTCTCCATTCGTTTCATTTTTCTCATCCTAATGAGGGGAATTCCTATGGGAAATGGTTGCACACTTTGAATTTTTGTGGAGGAAATATGAAAATAAATGTATCCATTACATTCCGTTTTTCTTATCAAATCGTATGCTTTTCTTAAACATAATTAAAAAATATATATATATCTCAATAGCGCTTTAATAACCATATTTTTAAAGATTTTTTAAACTTTTTGAACTAATTTTTTGTTTAAACAGTAATAATTAAAAACAAAATATCTCAATTGCGCTTTGAAACCACAATTTTTATAGATTTTTTAAACTTTTTGAACCAATTTTTCCATATAAATATTTTCTTTAAAGTTTGGTTTTAAACATTAATAATTAAAAACAAAATATGTCAAATGCGCTTTGATAACCCAATTTTTATGGATGTTTTAAACTTGTTGAACTAATTTTTCATATAAATATTTTCTTTAGTTATTTTTTAAACAGTCATTGCATCACATAATCATTTTCAATTCCCGATTTATCGGTTTTTACAGGGTTACCAGGGTATTCAATAAAATGACCTTTTGAGTGATTAGAAATTAATCGAAATCTTAAAAATGTCATTTGAGAAGAGATTTAGTTTGATAGCTTTTGCAACTGAAATATTTAAATGACACACCGAACAGTTTGGAACTAGACTTCCCTGGACTCATCCACTTCATCTTCAATTGCAGGTCTCCATACACAATATATCGGAGTCCAACTTCACGCGCAACAACGCGTCGCCATCGCCGCACCATGTCGAGATCACCAGCGTCTTTGGCAGCCGAGTGCGCTCCTCGAACGCCTATGATTCACAGCAGCAACAGCAGCAGCAGCAGCAGACGGGCGTCGGTCCAGGTGCCAACTACTGCGACAACGTGGCCGCCGACTACGGCAGTGGTGAGTAGTGATGAGGATAGGTACACAATCCAACGCCGAATAATCAACAATCAACAAATCACTTTGCAGATTCCCACCTCTTTGTGCAGAACAATCTGCTGACGCGAATGCCACAGCCGGCGGCACCTCCGCCGGATCCCTTTGGCTATGACTTTGATCCCTCGGTGGTGCCGGTGGGCGGATCGAAGGCGGCCAGCGTGGCCAGCGACCTGAACGAATTCCTGCGCCGCAGCCCGCTCAGTCAGCGAACCTCGCCGTACAGTCCGGACGAGAGTGCCGCCGCCCTGGAGACGTTCGTCCAGAACATGAGTGCGCTGCAGATCGCGAGCGATGCCGAGCAGTGCTCGCGTCTCAACGGAACGGGAGGGCCCGGTGATGCTCCTGCGGCGGATGCCACCGCCGGTGGAGCCGCCAATGCGGCAGCCGCTTGGTGGTGAGCCACAGCCACATGACAAGAGGTGATGCGGCATCTGCATGGCCAGCAGATTGAGGCGAAACTCCCTCCTCCCTCACATTCATACCGCTCACCACATACGCAGACATTTCATCGATAGGGCTGAAAAACGATATATGAAAACCAGGAAAACAAAAAAAAAAAAAAAAAAAAAAACGAAACATAAAATTACAAAAAACCAGAAAACAGAAAACGCATCCAAGGAATCATTTAAAATGGCTTAGGAGTCAATTTCAATGTTTCAACAAAAAAGAGAAAAAATAAAGAAAAAATTTACTTAAATGGAACTTAACTTGAGAAATTATTGAGTTGGGAATTATATTTCATATGACATCAAATGTGTAAATTTCACCTAAAGATTTGTTTTCATTAAAGTTTTTCGATTTTTACCACTTAAATGATTTAGGGATCTATTCAAAACTTATAGCAATATATAGATATATAATACTTGTACCAGAAAAGCTAACAGTTTTAATACAAACTTTAAATGAAAAAGAAAAAAAAATATAAATTACAACCAGATAGAAACTAGTCTATTATCACTAGTTTCTCTCTAGTTTTAATTTAGTTTAACTCCAAAAAACGAAATCAACTCAAAAGAATTTCTTGAGATAATTGGGTTTATTTTAAATTTTCAATTTGATGCTAGTAATTACAAAAACGTTAAGCTTAAAAATCCACGAGTTAGCTGCTGTTAAGTGGCTAAAATACTTGATGACATTCAAATCTCAAAGACGAGGGATCCGGAGGCGTAGCTGACGCTGGAGTCCTCCATGTCCTCGCACTGGCTGCTCTGGGCGTACTTGAGGAACTTGAAACTCATCTTGTCGTAGCCCTGATCCTGCAGCGCCTTCACGGCGCCCAGCATCACTCCAATGGGATGGCGACCGCATATCGTGTTGTTGTACTTGCGCAAGTACTCGGTAAACGACTGCGGACTGAGCGACTCGATGATGTCCATACCCTGCTTGTCCAGCTTCTCGATGGACTTGTGGATGGCCCCGCACGAGCGATCGTAGTACGTGTAGCTGAACCGCTGGCCCCAGTGGCAGAAGTCGGAGGATATCACAAACAGGTTGGTGGGGTCCATCAGGTAAGACGACAGCAGGCTGCCGTACTGAGCCTCCTGCTCGGGATTCAGCGAACCCACCAGGATAGGCACAATGGTGAACTGATCCTTGTAGCTGCAAGAACACAAGTCTCTTATTAGTATACAAATTTATATTTCTTTATGTACATTATTTAAATTAATAAGTTGGAACGAGCCGGATCGGACGACTATATCTTAAAGCTTAATAGGGCAAAAGAATTATCAATTTTATTGTATTTTAATTTGTTTTTAGTTCTTCGATATACAGTTCCTGTTAAAATAATAGTAGTTTTTTGCTTATAAAAATATCAATTAAAAATATTTTAGAAGCAACTTTTGAAAATTATTTTTATATTTCCGTGAAGTTTATACTTTATACTAAACGGGGCAAATATAAAAATATACAATTAGCATAGACATTTTTAAAAAAGGATTGATACAATTTTTTTTTATTTTTAAATTGAAAAAAAGGTTAGATATTCAAACATTGTCATTCCAATTCGAAGTGCAGATGAACGACGATTTATGGTTATTTACTTAAATTGCTAAAAAAAAATAATTTATTTCGAAAAGTTAACTTAATTTCTTTGGCAAACTAAAAAAATATTACAGGCTTCTTAAGTCTGATGTTGTTAATTGATTAGTGCATTAAAATAATTTAAAAGTTAGGTTGTCCTTTACCTTAAAGATATGTTTTTAAGGAATTTACAATTTTGAAATAATGATTTCATATTATGAGGGTTTTATTTGCATTGAAATTGGCCAACTATATTATATAGCCCCATGGGAACAATCGAAAACTGATGAAAGTTAAGATGTTTTAAAGAATTCACTACAAGGTTATATACAATATGGCTTGCTTTCTTTCTTGTTCAACTTACTCCTCCATCACTTTTGCTATGTAAGGCAAGTGCATCTCAATAGAGTGCTCATCCTCGTCCGTTTTCATGTCCATCCAAGAAAACTGTCCAGTCTTCTCCAGCTCAGCGTTGACTGAAATCAATGAGCAATTAAATTAAAAGCCAAGCACGACTTTGCTGCCTCAACAATCATACTCTGAGTATCAATTTTGAGATCGTAGAGTGGAGTCCTGTATTTCTTGGCCACGGATAAGGCACAACCACGCAGGCGCACATGATGCGAGGGGCCCAGTATGAAGATTCGCTTTCTGCAATCAAACGTTCTATTAAAGTTCTGATAGAAGAAGGCTAAAATTTCAGGTCCTTACACGACAACTGGGCTAACTTGGCGATAGGCGAACGCCCCGCAGGCACCACAATACGTATATCCAGCATGTCTGTTGAGTTTCAGAAATTTCAATAATGTATTCTTAACTAATTTTTATTATTATTTAACTTATCACTTACGGAGCAATAATGGCGCGAGCCGGTCCATGGGAAAGATCCGCAGCACCCAACCAGCGATCCAACTGTCTGGAGAGCTCTGACCCTGAAATCAAGACGAATTTATTAAAAAAAAATTAGTAAAATGTCGTTTGTAATCTTAAACAATAAAATGCAACGAGATTTTGTTCTTTACCCAACTTACTTTGCATTGGATTTGTATATTAAACTCTGTTCAGACTTTTTGGTAAACATTTACGACCATAAAAGATCTAATGATCTTGCTTTTATAAAATCATTCTAAATAAATATTTAAAAATATAATTTGAATTGTTCATAAGCTTCTGAGTATTGTTTTTTAAGTGAATCAAGTTGGCCTGGCGTTGCTTAGCAGCAAACAAACAAATAATATCACCAGTTGGTATTAGACTTGCTGATTCGACAAATCAGAAAAGCGCTTTAAGTTATTAAATATTGATTAAAATTTTAGTTAAAACATTCCGACATGGAAAATGATAAGGGAAAACACAGCGATGAGCTAATGAATCGCATACGGAATGAACTGACTGCTATATTGGCGCAGGAGTAAGTTTCAAGTGAAAGAATTCGAGTCTTAATTAAAGGCTCAAAGGATTTTTAACTTAAAGAAATATGTCCATAAATTCTTGATTATACACCATCAAAATAATAATCAATCCATTATTTGTGCATACAACAGGGCTACGGACGAATCCGAGAGCAAGAAAACACATGAACTGCTCTTGAGTCCCAATCCGCTGCCCATTTTTGGGCCCATAAGGAAGAGTAGGGCCAAGAAATCGGGCAGTACCACCAAGAAGGTGGGTAAACCGCCTTTGCCAGGCAGCAGAAAGAGTTCTTCGGCTGGGAGCGGATCATCTGAAGATCGCTTGGCGGGTGGAGATGCCCAGAAAAAGGAAACGGATCCGACTTCCACTTCCTCCAGCTTTTCTCTCAAATCCGGAACTTCTGGCCGCCATGAGGCTGCGCCCAAGGATCGCAGTGCCCGGGCCGAGTTCATGGAATCCCATGGAGCCAAGAGCATCGACGACGATGTGCAGAGGATGCAGATGGAGCTGAAGCAGAGCTACGAGCTCTTCCAGAGCATTGGCGAGAAGTTCGAGTCGGTGAACTTCTCGGGCCTGAAGAGCCGCATCCGGGACCTGCACCTGAACGACTCCAACAACGAGCTGGGCAAGGCGACCACCCAGGAGCTGCAGACGATGTTCAACCAGCGCTACCTGCAGAATCGCCTGGACAAGCTGGCCACGGACGCGACGCAGGGATTCCGCCGGCATCCCGGTGAGTTCGGTGACATCCCAGAGCTGAGCACCTTCTTTCAGGCCTGCACCCAGCTGGAGCACGGTCTGGATGCACTGCGTCAGCAGCGACAGCGTAACAGCGAACTGGAGAAGCGCCTGTGCTGGGCCACCGAGATAGCCTACGATCGCATGGACGAGATCCGCAACTCGGTGGGCTCCGATCCCGAAAAGAACTTCTGAAGTGCCCATTACTTAGTCATAGAATATATATGCATTAGTTGTTTTGTGGTTCATTCTAAAGTTCATTACCCACATACACCCACACACACACACGCAGGTGCAATATATACACATACATACGCCCGCATTACCCACACACACATGCGATGCATCTGCAATTTACTGGTGTTATCTTTTTTCGGGTTATCACTCACCCGAATCCGTGTACCAGCTGCCTGCGTGGGTTGCTCTTCTGGCCGACATGTTGACACGAGATCACTAATCACTCTGTTTAGTTGGTTAGTGCTATTAACTGGCAGTTACTTGTAGAAAAAACGTAGTCTTTGTTATTGGTGCCAGCAGTGTGACCGTTGCCTTTCTTTTAAAACACCCACGTCCACCAAATTGAGAGTTATTTACCAGTGACGTTTGGTCACACTTAATGTATTTTAAATTTATTTAAATTATATATTTGTCACAAACTTGGGATTTAAATTGAGCTCTGCTAATAAATAATTAAACTCTTCAACTTCAACTTTCAGCTGATCGATATGTATAAGTCACAAAAGTATCCTATTTTGTCAATGTATAGAAGATCCTTTTCTTAGCAATTCTTCGTTATGTATAAGTACACTAAAGTATTCTTTCAACATATAAAAGTGCATTCTTTTAAAAATTACACATACACAAATTGGTACACAAATTGAGCATTAATGAAGCAATTTTGATAATACGACAATTTTGAATGTATTTCGACTGAAATGAATCAATAATAAGAAAGCGAAAGACAAAACAAAAGACTTTATTCCGATTTTCGATGTTTTTTTCCAACAGCTGTTTAGCATACCAAACTAAAAATTTCATTGCTGTAACGATTTTAAACTGTTTGAAATGGAATTTAAAATTCAAGATAAAATCGGGGTCCAAACGCGAAAAAAATCGATCCGAACCGGGAAACCCGTTTCGACTATCGCACATCACCACTGGTATCTTGGTATTTTCGCACCGTCGCGCTGTGGTCACTCTGTTCGCATAGCGTCATTGCTGTACTAAAACCTAAAATCCGCCGTGTTCGTATTCCGCCATTTTGAAAGCTGCGAGTGGAATTTGGACGCGTTGCTGGTAAATTATTTGTGTAAAAACTGTCCGAAAAGTGCACAAAATTAGTGAAAAGTGGTAGGCGACGGTGTGTGAGATCCACCGCCAAGTGTTTGGCCCCGAAAATTGTGTGTGGCCCCGGTTTTGGCACGTGAAATTTGTCCAATTGTGAACTCGCAAAAAAAGAGAAAAAACCGACGCCGCCGTCGCCGCCGCCACAAAGGAATAGGCGAATAAGCGAGAGAAAAGGCAAAAACGAGAGAAAAGAAAATCAAATTGTGCGCCGCTGATTGCGTTTCAGCAATTTAATAATATACTAAAATCCACGGCAGCGGCAAATTTTCACGGATTACAATTACTATTTCCATTTGCAACGAGTGTGCGCTTGTGTGTGTGAGTGTGCGATAAACGTGTACAAGAAAAATTTAAACGTGCAGAATTCTGATGAATTTTAAAGCGGAACTACTTTTAAATGTATAGGTGTGTTGCGTGTGTGTATTTGATTGTGTGGGTGCACGCACACTTGGCCAAGTATTGTTGCGGTTTAATGCAAAGTTGAGTGCGTGTGAGTGAGTGTGCGAGCGAGTGAGCAACGCCTGCCATATTCTATGCAAAACATAAATAAAATTGTGCAATAATTTCCCCACACACAGCCACAGATACACATTCTCTCTCTTAAATATGCGTTTGTGTTTTTTTTTTGCGCCCGCCTAGTGACAATACACACGCAAGGTTCACTGCGCAACGCCCCCCTTCTTGCAACCCCCTTTTCCGCACCAGCCCCTTTTGTCCCACGCCACTGCAACATGCTGTCTCATCGTTGTTGTTTTGCCGCCGCCACATTTAGTTTGTCAGAGAGGGGAGTAGGAGGGCAAGGGAGAAAGAGAAGGAGAAGCGAAAACCAACGAGTTTGAAAACCAACTAAAGCCTCATGTTGACACATTTCGACCGGGAGTTCGTTCTTTCGGGCGGATTAAAAGCCTTTAAAGGGTGAAAGTTCTGCTTATCGTTTGGAGTTTTTTCCGAGCAAAACGGAGATTTAAAGTATAATATGTTTTTTTGACCGCATATTGATTAGTCAGCTGCCGTTGAAATTGCATTGTGTTTGTGTGTGTTTATGCGGATTTAAATACACAAAATGCCATGTGAAAAAGTTTGATTAAGTTGCGAATGTCCATTCAAATTGAGGCTTGTTTCTAGTTTTAATACAATTTTTGCGCTTGTCGTGTTTTTGTCGTTGCTTCTTCTTCTCTATCTCTCTCTTTTTGTTCGCCCTTTCACTGTTCGACGTGCCTGTACCCATCACACATACACACACGTGTACACCCAGCGACACACACACAAACACACACACTGGCTCATGAGAGGCAGACAGACAAGCAACTCTGGGCTCCCGCTCCCCCCTCCATCCTTTCCCCACCCACTCGTATTTGCAACGGGAATGTTGTTGGTGTTGCTCTGCAGTGCTCAAAACTTCGGAGAGGATTACAAATGGTGTTTTTGTTTTTGCCCAAACGGAAATACAGACAAACTTCTGCAACATAAAGAGTTCAAATTATAGAGACTTTTATTTATTTTGTTTTTCTCTGAAACTTTTGCGCACTTTTGGGTTAAGAAAATAATTTAAGACTTACAGGAGATGTTGAAATTACATTTTTAAAGAACTAAATGCAGAATATCCCCCAAATCAGCGAAGTAATAAATACTGAGGGTGCCTTTTAAATAATTACATTTGACTCAAAGTGAAACCACATTTTATAAAGTTTTCAATTTAAAAGAAAATGTTTAATATTTCTAATATTGATTTATTAGTTTAATTTACTTGCATTAAACTATAATTCAATCGAAATGTTGTAATTTTAAGGCTTAACATAGATGAACAAAGCTCAATTATCAACAAAAAACAAGAATTTGTTAAAGCCTCTACTCATGCAATTTAAATGGTTGTTGAATAGAAACGAATTAAGATTATAAAAATAATCATTAATGAGTGTTATCCCTTTTCTGAAAAGTGACCATTTCCTAGAAATGTAAACAATCTAAGCTGTTGGCTAAACAAATTGGTTTGGCTGCCATTGGAAATTCAATTTCGAGATCCATGCAAGAATACTTTATACCCCCCACCCCTATATGGCAAACAACGGCTATAGAATAGATAGAAATATGGAAATATATTGCAAAGACCCCTTTTATGGTATCCACTTGAATATTTGCATTGCCATGGAATTCTATGTAGTCCATCGCCATCGATAACTGTACACATTGCTGAATTTGTTACTCGTTTTATTTTTTGGCGCAACAACATTTACTGTCACTGCCCTTTTTTGGGCAATAATAAATTTGATTGCGTTTCGGGTGCCCACTCCCACTCCCACTCTAACGGTTATTTATTGTCAATGCCAGGCACACCAACCCAACCCCTCCCCTCCCCTCCCCCGTTTCCGCACCCTTATCACTTTGATGCTCTCTATTTTTGCGATGTTTGTTGTTTTGTGTTTGTTGCCGACTGCGCGCGTGAAAAAATGCACACCTGCCCAAAGAATTTCACACTTTGGGGTGCGCGCGGGGAAACAAAGCGAAAGCAGCCACAGAAATAGCAGCAAAACGTTTAAATTTAAATATATGTCTGAGAAACTAAAATTCGAGCAAAAACACAATGGCAGCCATGTGTGCTTTTTTTTTTGTTTTACTATTTTCCTCTATCTCTATCGATCTGAAAAATAAATACAACGAGAAAGTAACTAAATTCAGCAAGCAGAAGTTTTTACACCCTTGCAGATATAGTTCAATAGTATAATAATTCAGAAAATGCTCACAATAAACCTATATTAACTTTTACAATCTTCTTGTTTTGGATTTATTAATACTATTTTTACATTGGCTTATTGTTTTGAAAAATAAGTAGTTTTTAGTAAAACAAGTACAAAATTTAAGTTCATCTGAGTTTACAGCTAAAGAACCCTTCCAGCATGAGAATTTACTCAAGAAATGTAGTTTTGCTAACTATAGATCATAGCAAGAAACATATCACCAAATAATTATACTCTGCTGAAAGCGTATGCCAAATAAAAACAGAAAACGTCCATACACACATTTTCAGATGGCTCAGCCAAAATCCGTCTAAAACAACAGATATAGCAATAATAATAGCAAGAGCAGCCACAACGCAACATCAGCAATTCGTAAGCGTGCGAGGGCAATATACATATATAAGTTGTATTTCATTTGATTTTTTCCCACTTCTGGTCACTCGCTATGCTGGCTTGCAGTTTTTCAATTTGCGTCATTCGCAGACCGCGCACCACCAATCAATATTATAAAAAAAAAAAACATGAGGGAAAAACGAGAAAAACGCGAGGGAAAACAATGAGAAAGCAACGCAGAATGACAAATACAGACAAATAAAAACATTGGCCAATGTCAGCCAAACAGTTTAAGTGGTTTCTTTTGCTAGTACAGTAAATATCGACGGTTAAATTATTGCTGAAGGTCCAACGTAATTCGCTTCATCTGCAGTTTTTATGGCAGTGCAAGTAAATATCACCGGCAATTATCGTTTCGGAATTTAACTTGACCAAGTGTCTGGATCTTTAGTTTTTAAACGTTTTATCGAAAGAATTCTAAAAAAGTATTTTATTTTTAGCTTGTATCTTATAATTAATTGTGTGTATACCGTTTGAGTTTTGTTTAACCATAAAATCCCAAACTATAATTTCTGAAAGCAATCAAAAAACCAAAAATTTTGATATATTAATTAAAGCAACACAAGAAAAATGTTTATTGCTGCTATTTTAGCAGTTGTATGGTTTCTGTTTAATACCAAAATTAGTTTCTGTTTTCAGTAATTTTGGGAATTTAGTTTTCTAAATTTTGCAGTAGTTATTGCCAATTACCTATTAATGTCAAATGCAAATATTGTTTGCAAATAATTTATGATGTAAGGCCACGAATCAAATTCTCCCAACTTTCGCCGGCATTTTTAAATGCCAATCACGAGAGCAACAATATTTGTGGCATTAATATCGACCTACCAGTGCCAGAGTCTCAATGGGCAGTAGTCTTTTTAATTTCTGTTAACCAC